ACAGTTTACAATTTAGTCGAAACATGCTATACATGTGAAACAACCAATGAACATAAATCCAATGGTATGGAGTGATAAAAACAGAAGTGGGAGAGGTTATCCATCCTTTCACACCTAAAATTTTGACACAGTATTTATTGCATGAAAGATGTGTGTGTCCCTTTACACTTGACTTTATTGTCTTTGGATGATGCCCAGATCTGTAACTACAGACCTCTGCCCTCTCCAGAGTTGTAATCATTCTTTTGTTCTATAAACCTGTGCATATACTTAGTCACACTTAGTATAGTGTTAGGTACTGGCAGTACTTCTAACTGCAAGATCTCTTCTGTTAGATGTTCTGATTATCATCTCAAAAATCAGTATGTCCCGGCTGGGTGAGGCAGGTCATGCCTGTAATCCCAGCACTTTGGGAGGCTGAGGCAGAAAGATCACTTGTGCCCAGGAGTTTGAGGGTGCAGTGAGCTATGATCCCACCACTGCACAATAGCCTGGGTGAGAGAGCAAGATCCTGTCACTGAAAAAAAAATCAGTATGTCCTAAACTTAACTTTGCTTTTCTGCCTTATACCCATCCCTCTTCCTGCATTCCTTTGTTGAGTATACCAAGAGCACAGCTCTGGATCATCATCCATTCCCTGATCATTAAGTCCCTACCATGTGCTGTTATTTTTGCAGCAACCTAAGTGTCCTAATCTCTTTCTGAGGTTTCCAAGGGGTCCCAACCCACCTGTTCTGCATTATCTCCCAGTTTTCCCTCTCATGCCCTATCTTAGTCAACTCAACCTCTTGTGGATCCCCATATTGGCTCCATTCCCTTTTCTACTTTTACATTCCTTTATCACTTACCCTTTAAGACCCAGTTCATATGGTAATTTTGGAGCTTTCCAGTTCCTGTAATTCAAGTAGCAAGAGTTCTTTCTCTGAATTTTTATTTTACTGCTTTTATTTTATTTTTATTTTTTTTTTATTTTTTGAGACAGAGTCTCGCTTTGTTGTCCAGGTGTAGAGTGAGTGCCATGGCATCAGCCTGCCCACCAGCAACCTCAAACTCACTGGCAAGCGATCCTACTGGCCTCAGTCCTCCCGAGAGTGCGGACACAGGCATCGCCACTGTGCCCGCCACTTTTTTAACCTATATCATACTCAGTTCGGGCCAATTGAATTTCCTCTTTCTATTTATAGCTAGCAGATGGGGTTGCTCTTGCTCAGCGCTGGTTTGTGAACTTCTGACCTCGAGCAATCGCCCGGCCAACTCAGCCTCCCAGCGGAGCTAGGATTACAGAACAGACAACCACGCCAAAACTATATTTTGAGACAGAGTCAACACAGAACACAACCACGAGTGCAGTGCCATGGCGACAGCGCCCTAGCTCACGAAGCAACCTCTAAACTCCTATTGGCTAAGCAATCCTTAAAAGACTGCTTACAGCCCATCCCCAGTGAGCATTATAGGACGCTAACAGACAATGAGCCACCAATGCCCAGCTAAATTTTTTTCTTAATATTAGTTGGAAACCCATTAATTTTCTTTCTATTTTATAGTGCACCGACAGGGTCGTCCGCCTAAAAATCGCCACAACAGACTGGTTTCGCAACACTCCTGCAAAAAGCAAGCGCCCGCCTCCGGCCGTCCCAGAGTGCTAGGATTACAGGCAATGGACCCACCAGCCTCGGCCTTACTGCTTTTAGTTGACAGAATTAATGTGCTTGTATGCTCTTTCCACACCCCGGCTTGCCTCAGTACCGTAGCACATAAGCAATGCAGTTCTAAAATTTACTTGAATGAAGTAAATTTTAATTTTCTCTCCCTACCTATAAACTTAAAAGTCAGGATGTATGTCAACAGACGATGAGATAAACGTCAGAGATACCTGAATTTGAAGAGAAGAGAGAGGCAGATGGACATGTACAGGTAGTGGTCCATGGTACAAATCACACAGCACTGGGCTAACTTTCCAAAGAATTTGGAATGCTAAATAGTAGTTTTTAAAAATGTTTAGGCGGCCACCGGTGGCTCCATGCCTGTTTATATGCACTTTGGGAGTGCCAACGTGGAAGGATTGCCTTCTGAGGCCAGCGAGTTCAAGACAGCCTGACATACAGCCAACGACCTCCCTGTCTACAGAAACTACAGAAAAAATTGGCTGGGTGTGTTGGTCTGTGCCTGTAGTCCCAGCTACTCAGAAAGGCTGAGCGCAGGAGGATGCCCATCTCTGAGCGCAAGGACTTTGAGGTTTCAAAAAGTGAGCTATGATGAGGCCAGTGTTATTGGTAGCCAGGTGAGCAAAGGGAGAGCAAACTGTCTCAAAAAAAACCAATAACAACACAGCTCTGGAATTTCTTCTGGCTGTACATTGAAATACGGTACTTTATCGCGGGCCGCCCTGCCGGCTCACGCCTGCCTATATTAGCCTCTTGCCGACGCGCGCGCGACGCGCGGCGGATTCGGCTCAAGGTCAGGAGTTCAAAAACCAGGCCTGCAGCAAGGAGCAGACCGACGTCGTAACTAAAATAGAAAGAAATTACATTCTCGCCAATGATATATATATAGGGCGAAAATTAGCCGGGCGAGTGGTGGCGGCATGGCCTGTAGTCCCAGCTACTTGGAGGGCCTCGCGCGCGCAGGAGGATCGCCTGGAGCGCCAGGAGGCTTGAGTTGGGCTGTGAGCCTAGGCCTGACGCGACGGCACTCCTCCTAGCCTGGACAACAAAGTGAGACTCTGTCTCAAAAAAAAAAAAAAAAAAGAAATGAGCGTACTCTTATTGGTGCATAGAGTAACTTTCAAAGACACACTTGTGGACAAATTACTGTCAACACATTTAAAAAGACACAAAAAACCATTGGTTGTATGTTAGTTCTGCTTGTTGATGTGGTTGGGATTCTGGCATTTCTGGCTTTTTGCGGTATAATCTTTTCCTGCCTCCGTGTTGTACGTTTCCTTCCTCCTTCCTCCCTCCTTCCCTCTCCTCTTCGCTTCCTTCCTTGCTTATCCTTCCTTCCTGTTCATTCCTTCCTTCCTTCTCTTCCCTTCCTTCCTTCCTTCCTTCCTTCCTCGCCTCGCCTCCTCCTCCCTCCCTCCTCCCGTACCTTCCCTCCTCCCTTTCTCCCTTGCCTTTCTTTTCTTTTTTTTTTTGAGGCAGAATCTTCCACTCTGTTGCCGCGGCGCCTAGGGGTGCCATGGTGTTGCCATGGTGTGTGATTCTAGGCTCACAGCAACTCAATCTTCTGGCTCAAGCAACTCCTTCCTGCCTCAGCCTCCCGAGGTCAAGCCTGGGATTGACATGGCCATGTGCCACCATGCCCTGGCTAAATTTTTTCTCTGTATTTTTTAGTTTGCCAATTAATTTGTTTCATATTTTTAGCTAGAGACGGTTCTTGCTCTTGCCAGGCTGGCGTTTCCGACACCTCCTGATCTCTGAGTATCCTCGCCGCCGTCCGGGCCTGCAGCAGTGAGTTACAGGGTTTGAGCACCCACGCCGGCTGTGGTTGTAGTATCCGCGCGTAAAGCAAGATGGAACAGCAGTGAGGAGGGAGAACCACAGGAAGACAGAAAGTAATGTGAGTTGCAGTTGTGAGGTCATACGCAGAAGTGGCAGCTCGCCTGGGCTACAGACCAAATGCACTTTTCTTCAGCCCGCTTCTTATCTGCTTTCTTCTTATGAACAGAAAAGCAATTAATTATGCACTTACCCTGCCTCACGAAGTGGTTATCAATATCATATGAGAGTACTTCTCGAGTGGTGAAACAGATAAACTACTTAGATGAATATGTACCATAACTTTACAGTTATTCAACTACAGAACCCTATTTCATGCATCCACTGCTAGGACATTGGAGAAACACTAGGAAAACTAAAAGGGCTTTTGGTGTTTTTGAGACAGAGTCTCGCTTTGTTGCCCAGGCTAGAGTGAGTGCCGCGGCATCAGCCTAGCTCACAGTAACCTCAAACTCCTGGGCTCAAGCGATCCTCCTGCCTCAGCCTCCCGAGTAGCTGGGACTACAGGCATGCGCCACCATGCCCGGCTAATTTTTTCTAGCTAGTTTTTAGTTGGACAATTAATTTCTTCCTATTTATAGTAAAGACAGGGTCTCGCTCTTAGTCAGGCTGGTTTTGAACTCCTGACCTTGAACAATCCACCTGCCTCGACTTCCCAGAGTGCTAGGATTACAGAGTGAGCCACCATGCCCGGCCAAGAAAGGGTTTTTTATCTAGAGGATATTTTTAGGACAATTAGTAGGATACAGCCTCCAAGACAGTGACCCTGGAGACCTGAGCCTAGAATTGAGTGAGAGAAGGCTGTGATCAGGCTACCCGACAGGTGGTCCGGATAGAGTCGGGAGGGACAATAACAATCTCAGGATGTCTCAACCTGGTAGGTGTGCCCCAAACTTTCTTTCCATTGTGTGTGTCGCCAAGGCGAGGGCTGAAGCAGCTCAGATGCTCCATGAGGGGAAGGAAGCTGTGGGATGATGGGGAGGGTTCCCACAGAGATGGAGCCTCGTCAGCCTTTCTCCAGCACCGGAAACCGCAGGAAACCAGGTCAGTGCGTGGGGCCCACTCCCTCTGCTCCAGGGCTCAGCGATGAGCTCGGGCTTCCTGAGTGGGCTCTGCTGATTAGCGGGTTCTTGATGCTGGAGGCCCCTTTGGCATGGAGGCCTCTGCCCGGAAGAGCTGGAGCTGGCTGATGGGCAGAGAGAGCATGGATATCGTCATAAGAGCCAGCCAGGTGGGGCTCAGGGTGCATACAGAGGCATGTGAGGTTCATGTGCAGCCTCTAGTACCTTTTTTTTTTTGCCCAACTGTGAATGGTGCCTCAGTCACCTCTTTGTCTCCAGCACCCAGCGCAGAGTAGAGCTCTGTTCGTTCTCTAAGTGGGGATGAAGCACATGTCCTTTGGAGGGAGATTCAAGCTCGAGTGTGTTGATGGGCGGGTCAGACCTGCAGGGGTAGGAGGGGTTATTCAACGGGTGCAGTCCCCAACCTGATGCTGGCCCCTTTCCTGTCACTTCTCTGCCAGTAGCAGGAAACCCTTGTCTTTCAGGTAGGGGGCAGAAGGGATTTTTTTGGGGGGGCAAGCCTCCCTCAATCCCTCCACTTGGAGGAGAAGGAATGTAGCCTGGCTGGCTGGTTAGGATCCAGGAGGAGCTTTAGGGCAGGGTGGGGCAGGGGCAGGCAGAGGCGAGGGCTCAGGCACTGGTACCGTGTTCCCTGCTGACGCCGAGCAGCCAGCGAGACCTGCTGCCCACCTTCAGGGCTGCGCAGCCATGTTCTGGGCACCCTGACTGCACAGAAGCCCATGGGGCACCCCAGACTCGAAGCTCTGCTCCTGCCTCTCCTGCTGCTCATCGGACTCTCCGCCCCTGCTGGGATCAGCTGTCCCCACCTGCCTTGCTGGAGAACCTGCCGTCTGCTGGCCTCTCACATGGTAAGGTGCTGCTGCCAGGTAGGGACGCCTGCCTTGCCCGCCGCTGCCACCTCCCCAATCCCTGGGCTCTGGGGGCAGTCTCAGTGTGTCCTCTAACAGTCTCAGAGGGGTAGCCCAGGTCCTGGCGCGCCGAGGGTCTCGGCTGAGCGAAGCCGGGAAGACAGAGGCCCAGTGGATAAGCTTTGAGCTGTGGACAGCTAATGGGGATAAGCGATCTGAGGCGAAGATCCCAGGGAGAATTCTCCTGATGAAGGGCCCTACTAACCCCAACTCTCTCCTTTCTTCTCCCTGCTGGGCCCTGTGCCTTCAGGATGACTGCTTCACTGGTGAGTCTCATTTCCTGCCCCCACACCTCCCTGTGTTCCAGAACCCACAGCAGGCTCCCTCTCCCCATTCCAACTTTTGGTTCCCAACCTGGGAGGCAGCACAGTGTCAAGGAAAAAGCACAGGTCCGGAATCAGGACATGCCTGCGTGTGCACTGAGAGTCTGACACAGGCTTCTGCAGTGCCGTGGCCTCAGACGGGGCACTGAACGCCTGCAACACGGGCCCTGAGTGTCTGAGAAGCGCAGGGGCATGGCAGAAGTGATTGCACAATGAAGACATTGTTGCTTCTGACCTCTGGGGAGGATTAAATAAGAGACACGGGTAAATCTCCAGGCACTCCGTAAACACTGGTCCCTCCCCTCAACTGGTCGCTCACTGCCGTCAGTAACACAATAGTCACCCTGCACGAGTATTTTATGGTGTGCCCTACGCCACACTTTCCCACACGTCACCTTGCTTGGCTTTTACAACAGCCCCACTTTATTTTTATTTATTTGTTTGAGACAGAGTCTCACTCTGTTGCCTGGGCTAGAGTGCTGTGGCGTCAGCCTAGCTCACAGCAACCTCAGACTCCTGGGCTCAAGCGATCCTCCTGCCTCAGCCTCCCGAGTAGCTGGGACGACAGGCATGCACCACCATGCCCAACTAATTTTTTCCGTATATATTAGTTGGCCAATTAATTTCTTTCTATTTATAGTAGAGACGGGGTCTCGCTCTTGCTCAGACTGGTTTTGAACTCCTGACCTCAAGCGATCCGCCTACCTCGGGCTCCCAGAGTGCTGGGATTATAGACGTGAGCCACTACGCCGGCCTACAGCCCCACTTCATGAATGAAGAATCTGGCACTTAGAGAGGTCCTGTAACTTGCCCAAGATCACACTTCCAGGGGGTCACTGGCAGAGCTCAGCCTCACATCCACCGTGTGTGTGTGTGTGTGTGTGTGTGTGTGTTGGGGGGAAGGACCTCCTTAGACCCTATTGTTTGCTTTCCTTTCTGGTTTTCACAGGAAGTTCTGCCCGTATTCATCGCCGTCCCCGGGCGGCCCTCCCCTCCACGAAGCCACAGTGCACTCCGCACCGCTCCTGCTCCCTGTGCCTGCGTCTGCTGTCAGACCCCCCAGGTATGGGAGACAGCGCTTTGGGCCATTCTCAGTGAAGATGTGAATTAGGCACATTTTGACATTTTGGCAGAGGCGGGGTGGGGGTCGGGCACCTAGGCTGAAGCAAGTTGGATCTGTCATACCAGAGTAGATATTTGTCCTGTGTCAACCCCAACAGGGTCTTACAGCATCCTAAAACAACATGCCATGACTGATATTCATGGGTACAATCGTGTCTTTTGTGAAGATGTTAATCTTTTTGGCCAATCAGCCAAGATCCTTTTTTTTTTTTTTTTTTTTTTGAGACAGAGTCTCACTCTGTTGCCAGGGCTATAGTGCCGTGGTGTCAGCCTTGCTCACAGCAGCCTCCAACTCCTGGGCTGACTGCCTCAGCCTCACGAGTAGCTGGGACTACAGGCATGCGCCACCATGCCCGGCTAATTTTTTCTATATATTTTTAGTTGGCCAATTAATTTATTTCTATTTTTAGTAGAGACAGGGGTCTTGCCCTTGCTCAGGCTGGTTTCAAACTCCTGACCTTGAGCGATCCTCCCGCCTCAGCCTCCCAGAGTGCTAGGATTACAGGCATGAGTTATGGCGCCTGGCCCCCCAGCCAAGATTCTTGGGACTAAAAGTTTTGAGTTCTATACACTTTTTGTTGTTACCCTCTATTCATAAAGTAGTATCTTCTTTCTTATTCAACTCTATATTTCATTGGCTAGCTCAGTGCCTGGTGCATACTAAATGCTCATACATTGGCTTAAGAATTGGCAGTTTTTGGCCGGGCATGGTGGCTCATGCCTGTAATCCTAGCTCTCTGGGAGGTCAGGCGGGCGGATTGCTCGAGGTCAGAAGTTCAAAACCAGCCTGAGCAACATCGAGACCCCGTCTCTACTATAAATACAAAAATTAATTGGCCAACTAATATATATAGAAAAAATTAGCCAGGCATGGTGGCGCATGCCTGTAGTCCAGCTACTCAGGAGGCTGAGGCATGGGATGCTTGAGCCCAAGGAATTGAGGTTGCTGTGAGCTAGGCTGACGCCATGGCACTCACTCTAGCCTGGGCAACAAAGTGTGACTCTCTTCCAGCTACTTGGGAGGCTGAGGCAGAAGGATTGCTTGAGCCAGGAGATTGAGGTTACTGTGAGTTAGGCTGACGCCATGCACCATCTACCTAGGCAACAAAGCGAGACTCTGTCTCAAAAAAAAAGTGTGACTCTGTCTCAAAAAAAAAAAGAATTGGCAGGTTTTTTTCTAATTTCTTACTGTTAGAAATAATATTACAATGAATGTCTTTGTGTATACAGCTTTTTATACATATACTTAAGAAATTAATCCTTTTTAAATTTGCATTGTAATTTTGAGGACTAAAGAAGCTTGACATCCTTACTCTCCTTTATTTATTTATTTATTTTGAGACAGAGTCTCACTCTGTTGCCCAGGCTAGAGTGTCGTGGGCAATCAGCCCTAGCTCACAGCACCTTAAACTCCTGGGCTCAAGTGATCCTCCTGCCTCAGCCTCCCGAGTAGCTGGGACTCCAGGCATGCGCCACCATGCCCGGCTAATATTTCCTATATATATATGGTTTTTTTGAGACAGAGTCTCACTTTGTTGTCCAGGCTACAGTGAGTGCCGTGGCATCAGCCTAGCTCACAGCAACCTCCAACTCCTGGGCTCAAGTGATTCTCCTGCCTCAGCCTCCTGAGTAGCTGGGACTACAGGCATGCGCACCATGCCCCGGCTAATTTTTTGTATATATATTTTTAGTTGGTCAATAATTTCTTTCTTTTTTAGAACAGGGTCTTGCTCAGGCTGGTTTCGAACTCCTGACCTTGAGCAATCTGCCCGCCTTGGCCTCCCAGAGTGCTAGGATTCCAGGTGTGAGCCACCGCGCCTGGCCTAATTTTTCCTATATATTTTTAGTTGGCCAATTAATTTCTTTCTTTCTATTTTTAGTAGAGATGGGGTCTCACTCTTGCTCAGGCTGGTCTCAAACTCCTGACCTTGAGCGATCCTCCCGCTTGGCCTCCCAGAGTGCTAGGATGACAGGCGTAAGCCACCGTGCCAGCCTCTACTTTATTTAAAATGACTGACTATGTTCTACTACTTTCCCCTCTCCTCACTACTGCACTTGACTAGTCTTAAAAAATAAATAAAATAAAATAAAATAAAATGACTGACTATCCAAAATTGGGCCACATCTCCAGGCGGGGGAGGGGCAGTGACAGGCGGGACAGTAAGTGTGTCCTTCCCTCCCCATGCAGGCCTCCAATGGGTCTGCTTCCACCTCCCGGTGCAGCAGAAATCCAGAAAGCCTTCCAAATTCAAGTTCTGTAGGAGACGCAAGATTTTGGCGGCGTCTGCTCAGGTACTCCCCCTGCCACTTCCAGTCCTACCATGCAGCCCGCAGCCCTTTTCTTTCTGGCCTCTCATTTTGCTCTCCTGTCACGGGAGCAAGATGGAAGGTGTGGAGAGGAAGTAGACTATCCTGTCCGTGACACAGTTAGGGAAACTGAGGCTGAAAGAGGTTGAACGACTTACTCACCCGTGGTACCTCAGGTTCCAGAGGTGGAAACAGAAGCCCGATCCCCTCCCACCCAAATACTCAACGAGGCCGGACCCCGCTTAGCTCCCGAGACCCGATGAGGTCCCGCACGTTCAGGGCAGCACGGCCGTAGACCAGGTTTCCCGATCCTGGCGTAAGGCCAGCCTTGTTCTCCGCCTACAGAGGAAGCTGCTGGGCGGCTGCTGCCTGTCTGGGAAGAGCTGTCATGTTTCCGTCCCCTCCCCAGACATCTCCCACGGGGGGCTGCGCACCAAAAGGACCCAACCTTCAGACCCAGGGGCAGTGGACACCCCCTCCAGACCGGACACACAAAGGCACAGAGGTAGGCCCCGGGTAGGACAGGAGATGGGTTCCACCGAGCAGGAACATTTGTGTCGAGGCCCTGAGACAAGGCTGCCGCGTCTCTCCTCTCCCCAGGGCCTGAGTTCTCCTTTGATTTGCTGCCAGAGGCACGGGCCATCCGGGTGACCCTCCCTCCAGGCCCTGAGGTCAGCATGCGTCTCTGTCACCAGTGGGCCCTGGAGTGTGAAGACCTGAGCAGTCCCTTCGATGCCCAGGTATGCATGGCCATCCCCTGCAGAAGGCCAGATCACCCAGTGCTGGAGCAAAAGAGGCCCACTCGTTGTACACCTGGAGAGACTGAGGCCCAGAGAGGGAAGGTAATTGTCCAAGGCCTCCTTGCAAGCTGAGGTGGCTGGTGTGAACACTTCTCTGGACCCCACAGAAGGAGGCAGGCGGCCTTGTTACCTGGGAAGAGAGAAACAGGAGGGGCAGGCAGACACCTGGAGCCACTGTGAATGACAAGCAGAGAAATGAATATGGCATTTGCCCCCCATGAGAGGACCCTCAGTGTGATTCCAGTTGCATTAAAAAGCCCCTTCAGGCCGGGCGCGGTGGCTCACGCCTGTAATCCTAGCTCTCTGGGAGGCCGAGGCGGGCGGATTGCTCAAGGTCAGGAGTTCAAAACCAGCCTGAGCAAGAGCGAGACCCCGTCTCTACTATAAATAGAAAGAAATTAATTGGCCAACTAATATATATAGAAAAAATTAGCCGGGCATGGTGGCGCATGCCTGTAGTCCCAGCTACTCAGGAGGCTGAGGCAGAAGGATTGCTTGACCCCTGGCAACAGAGTGAGACTCTGTCTCAAAAATGTAAAAAAAACCCTCTTCAGCTCCCCTAAGAGGCTGTTTGCCCCAAGAATATAACAAAATGGTCCTATCATCCGTCTTGGTACCCATGTAGCTCCCTCCCTTTGTTCCTGCCCCTCAAAGAATGAGACGTCTCTATTCTCCCAGCCCAGGCCCTAACCTCCCATGCTCCACCTGCAGTTGTCATGGGTGCAACTGTATGCAGTTGGTACCATTTGCAGGGACTGCTGCTGTACCCGAGGCCCTGGGCTCCCTTCCTCATAGAACTGTGATGCTACCTCACAAGATCACTGTGATGCTAGCATTAACCTGATGGAGTTCTTTTAGCACCTAGGACCCTGCTTGGCATACAGTAGGAGCTCAATAGGTGTCCGTTCCTTTCCCTGTCTCCTTCCCCCTGACTCCACCTAGAGCACCTAGAGCACACGGTCAGACTAAAGAGCAGAGACTCTGTAGGAGGAAATCTCTTGGTGGGAGAAGTCAGTCTCCCACGGAAGGAAAACGAGATCGTGTTGGCCAAGGCCAACCCAGCTCTCTCCCTGCCCTTGTCCATGGGGCCCGTGCTCATTCTCAGGCGTCTCTTTTCTCCTTTGCTGCCGTCAACAGAAAGTCGTGTCTGGGGGCCACACGGCAGAGCTGCCTTATGAATTCCTGCTGCCCTGTCTATGCATAGAGGTGAGCAGGGGAAGAGGTGTGGGTTGTCCATGGCTCTGCTCCTAGGCCCCCCAGGTGGCACAGCTGGTCACGCCTATCTCCAGCAAGTCAGGTTTTATTTATTTATTTTTTATTTCAGCATAATATGGGGGTACAAATGTTAAGGTTACAAGGCCGGGCATGGTGGCTCACGCCTGTAATCCTAGCACTCTGGGAGACAGAGGCGGGCGGATTGCATGAGGTCAGGAGTTCAAAACCAGCCTGAGCAAGAGTGAGACCCCCGTCTCTGCTATAAATAGAAAGAAATTAATTGGCCAACTAATTCGAAAAAATTAGTCGGGCATGGTGGCTCATGCCTGTCGTCCCAGCTACTCGGGAGGCTGAGGCAGGAGGATCGCTTGAGCCCAGGAGTTGGAGGTTGCTGTGAGCTAGGCTGACGCCATGGCACTCTAGCCCGGGCAACAGAGTGAGACTCTGTCTCAAAAAAAAAAAAAAAAAGGTTACATACATTGCTCTTGCCTTCCCTCCCCCCTAGAGCAAGAACTTTAAGTGTGTCCATCCCCCTGACAATGCATTGCACTTATTATAATGTGTATATACCCATCCCCTCCTCCCCCTCCCACCTGTCCGACACCTGAGAAATGTGTTTGTTTTGTTTTGTTTTAAAGATTTTGGTGAGATTTTATAACTTTGCCTTTACCTAGCAAGGGTTAGAGCTATGCCCTTCCCATCCACACTGTTCGCCACATCCCTCCGATGGGGGTCAATCTCCCCCCCCGCCCCCCGAGTCTTTGGTGAACACCACCACCCTTTGTGCACCACATTAATAATCGGAAAAACATGGAACACTTCACGCATTTGTGTGTCTTCCTTGCACAGGGGCCATGCCAATCTCCTCCGTGTCAGTCCCATTTTAGTATGTGTGCTGCCGAAGCGAGCACCAGTGAGTCAGGCTTCCAAGGGACTGGGTGTCACTGGGATGCTCAGGAAGCCTGGCCCCAGGTGGGCTGGGGCAGAGGTAGAAGGGGCTCCCGAACACAGGATCTTCTCAGGGTGATCCCAGCCCCAGCGCCAGCCCAACCCATCTTTCCTTGGCCCAGACTCGGCCTCAGCCCACAGAGCCGGAACACACAGCCACCATCAATGTGAGTCCTGAGGACTCAAGACAGAGGCATGGGCATGGTCACTGCAGCTTTCCAAATGCCCCCAAAAGTCTTGTCCCCTCCAGGCCTCTGTAGACATCTTCATCCTTAATTTTTTTCTTTCTTTGTTTTTTTGAGACAGAGTCTCACTCTGTTGCCCAGGCTATAGTGCCAAGGCATCAGCCTAGCTCACAGCAACCTCAAACTCCTGGGCTCAAGCAATCCTCCTGCCTCAGCCTCCCCAGTAGCTGGGACTACAGGCATGAGCCACCATGCCCAGCTAATTTTTTATATGCATATTTTTAGTTGGTCAATTAATTTCTTTCTATTTATAGTAGAGACAGGGTCTCACTCAGGCTGGTTTCAAACTCCTGACCTCGAGCAGTCTGCCTGCCTCAGCCTCCCAGAGTGCTAGAATTACAGGCGTGAGCCACTGCGCCTGGCCCTCTTTTCTTTTTTTTTTTTTCCTCCTTCCTTTATAAGTCTGAAGCACCTGTTCTTTGCACCAGACAGAAAGGCAGGGAACCGTGTTACTTTGGAGAGCAAAGGGAGGGGGCAGGCAGAGACCTGGAGCCTTGAGCAACTGCCAGGGTGGACAAGAGTTGTGCATTTAGGCCAGGGCATGGTGGCTCACGCCTGTCATCCTAGCACTCTGGGAGGCCGAGGTGGGAGGATCACTCAAGGTCAGGAGTTAGAAACCAGCCTGAGCAAGAGCAAGACCCCATTTCCACTAAAACTAGAAAAAGAAATTAATTGGCCAACTAAAAATATATAGAAAAAATTAGCCGGGCATGGTGGTGCATGCCTGTAGTCCCAGCTACTCGGGAGGCTGAGGCAGGAGGATTGCTTGAGCCCAGGAGTCTGAGGTTGCTGTGATCTAGGCTGATGCCACAGCACTCTAGCCCGGACAATAAGAGTGAGACTCTGTCTCAAAAAAAAAAAGAGTTGGGCATTTGGACAGTCCAGAGTGAGGAGCCAACTCTGGGAACTGGGCACCATGGGAATGGCTGAGAGTGGAGGCCAGAGAAGGCCAAAGTTGAGGAACGTGGACCTCAGGGTTTCCCTCCTTCTGGGGCTGGTCCTGTCCAGGGAGAGGATGCATCAGCCCCTCCTTGCTGATATCTGTCCTGCACGCCAGAGACCCTCCCCCCTTGCCCACACCCCACCCGCCCCTCCTCAGTGCCCTGCCAGCTCTGGCGGCTCACCTCACGGTAAGGGGAAGCTAGAATGAGTTTCGGGTCTGAGCGAGATGGGAAAAGCCCCTGTTCTGACCCTCTCCGCCTGCGCCCCTGTCCCTCCAGGCTGCCTACCTGCAAGAAGACACCGTGAGGCATAAAAAATGTCCCTTCCAGAGCTGGCCTGAAGCCTGTAAGTGCTGCTCAGACGCTGTCTTGTGCACACATACCTTCTCTCTCTCTCACACACACACACACTCACACTTGTGCTGCAGAGAAGCCGCAGAAGGCGACCACTTTCCCTGGGGTCAATGAGGGTAGAGGGCTGCCTTGTCTACCAGTCAGCCTGCCGACAAACCAGAGTCCCGAGTCCCCTAGCTCTGTGAGAAGTTCACAAACATGAGGCCCAGGGTACCGTTCCGGGAAGATGGGCCAGAAGACCTGGGTTCCCATTTTTTATTTATTGAGACAGAGTCTCGCTCTGTTGCCCAGGTTCGAGTGCCGTGGCGTCAGCCTCGCTCACAGCAACCTCAGACTCCTGGGCTCAAGCGATCCTCCTGCCTCAGCCCCCCGAGTAGCTGGGACTACAGGCATGCGCCACCATGCCCGGCTAATTTTTTCTATATATTTTTAGTTGGCCAATGAATTTCTTTCTATTTTTAGTAGAGACAGGGTCTTGCTCTTGCTCAGGCTGGTCTCGAACTCCTGACCTTGAGCGATCCTCCCGCCTCGGCCTCCCAGAGTGCTAGGATTTCAGGCGTGAGCCACCTCGCCCGGCCTCTGCTGATTCTTCTTGTCAGAGTCTCACTCCCCTCACCTGTCACATGACACCTGCCCTATCTCGCAAGCAGTCCGTGAGGCTTGAACTAAATATCACACAGGAGAGTGGTCCGTGATGTCTGAAGTGCCGCACGCACAGGGCTGTCCTCAAAGAGAGACAGGCCTCTCAGACACAACAAGCAAACGGTGCAATGCAGCCTGCGGTACCCATGGGGCAGGGGCGTGATGGAGGGCCAGGCCGGAGGGCACGGACGCAGGGAAGGGAGAAGCCTATGAAGGCTGTAGAGAGCAGGGAGGGTCTCTTAGAGGAGGTGGCACCTGAGCTGGGCTCAGAAAATGTGCAGGATTTAGAAACCAGAGGATGGGGCTGGGCGCCGTGGCTCACGCCTGTAACCCTAGCACTTTGGGAGGCTGAGGCAGGTGGATTGCTCAAGGTCAGGAGTTCGAGACCATTCTTAGCAAGAGCGAGACCCTCCCCGATACCCCGGTCTCTACTAAAAATAGAAAGAAATTAATTAGCCAACTCAAAAAGAAACATATAGAAAAAAATAGCCAGGCGTGGAGGTGCGTGCCTGTAGTCCCAGCTACTCGGGAGGCTGAGGCAGGAGGATTGCTTGAGCTGAGGAGTTTGAGGTTGCTGTGAGCTAGGCTGACGCCATGGCGCTCACTCTAGCCTGGGCAACAAAGCAAGACTCTGTCAAAAAAAAAAAAAAAAGAAAGAAAGAAAGCAAGCAAGCAAGCAAGCAAGCAAGCAGAAGATGGGAGAAGTCAGTCCTAGTTCTGACGGGAGCCCAAGCAGATTTCTAATTTGGGGGAGCAGCAAGAAGCTGGCCAGAATGGAGGCCCAGGAAGTAGGGGAGACAGCTGGATAGAGAGGTAATAACAAAAGGGGCGTGGAGAAGGGATGCTCATTTATTAGCCGTTCAGGCCAGGAACCAGGCTGGGCACTTTCACAAATGCGGCCCCCGCTGCCCTGCGGGTGTGAGCAGCAAGGTGGCACCAAGGCCGGACTCAGGCCTCACCCACCCTGATCCCTGCCCAGATGGCTCCGACTTCTGGAAGTCAGTACACTTTGCTGACTACAGCCAGCACAATCGGATGGTCATGGCCCCGACACTCCGCTGCCCGCTGAAGCTGCAGGCCTCCCTCTGCCGGAAACAGGACCGGTACCCCCTCTGTGAAGACCTCCCCAATGCCACGGCTCAAGAGTCAGAGGGGGTGAGGACAGGCTCCCCCCGCCGGGCTAGGGTGGGCAGGGCTAGGCCCAGGATTTTCCTCCCTAACTTTCCTCTCTTCCGAAGTGGTATGTTTTGGAGAAGGTGGACTTGCACCCCCAGCTCTGCTTCAAGGTACAACAGCAGGGGAGAGGGTGGATGGCGAGGGTCGTGGCTGTCGCCTGAAGCACGCTGACTGGCCACTCCTGCATTTTGCAGTTCTCGTTCGGAAACAGCAGCCACGTGGAATGCCCCCAGCAGACTGGTGAGCCCGCAAGTGACCTCGGCTGGGACCCCCTGCTCCCATTCCCCCTTACCCAACGGTGACCAAGCCAACCCCAGCCCGGCCCTGAGCTTCCTGTCGGCCGCAGCCCAGCTCCCACCACCCGCATGCGCAGGGTCTCTCACCTCCTGGAAGGTGAGCATGGACACCCGGGCCCAGCAGCTGATCCTCCACTTCTCCTCGAGGATGCATGCCACCTTCAGTGCTGCCTGGAGCCGCCCAGGCTCGGGGCAGGACGCCCTGGTGCCGCCTGTGTACAGCGTCAGCCAGGTACGGCCTGCGCAGGGCTTCGCCCCCACTGCATCCTGTTGCTCGGGGCATGACCCCCCATTCCCTTGTCACCTCGTTGAGACAGACCCTGGGCAGGTGGAGGCAAACAGATCCCTGACTCCTACTAACTAGAAGCCCCTCAGTCAGCGAGTGGGGTCCTCACGGGGGCAGCTTCCAATCCTTTCAGTTTCTGAATTTACAGAAATAACAGAGGCAAGGGAGCGGCCCTCCCACATCCAGCTGTCCCCCAGCTTATCCAAACTGCTGCCACATTTTATGTCGATGCCATTCTTTCTTTCTTCTTTTTTCTAAGACAGAGTCCACTCTTTTTTTTTGAGACAGAGTCTCACTTTTGTTGCCCAGGCTAGAGTGAGTGCCGTGGCGTCAGCCTAGCTCACAGCAACCTCAAACTCCTGGGCTCAAGCGATCCTCCTGCCTCAGCCTCCCAAGTAGCTGGGACTACAGGCATGCGCCACCATGCCCGGCTAATTTTTTGTATATATATTAGTTGGCCAATTAATTTCTTTCTATTTTTAGTAGAGACGGGGTCTCGCTCAGGATGGTTTCGAACTCCCAACCTCGAGCAATCCGCCCGCCTCGGCCTCCCAGAGTGCTAGGATTACAGGCGTGAGCCACCGCGCCCGGCCCAGAGTCCACTCTGTTGCCTAGGCTAGAGTGAGTGCTGTGGCGTCAGCCTCGCTCACAGCAACCTCAAACTCCTGGGCTCAGGCCATCCTCCTGCCTCAGCCTCCCCGAGCAGCTGGGACTACAGGCATGTGCCAATTAATTTCTTTCTATTTATAGTAGAGACGGGGTCTCGCTCTTGCTCAGGCTGATCTCGAACTCCTGACCTTGAGCAATCCTCCCGCCTCAGCCTCCCAGAGTTGCTAGGATTGCAGGCGTCAGCCACCGCACCTGGCCTTATGTTGATGCCTTTCCCTCAACTTGGCTGTCTCCTAACCATCACTCTCATGCCTCCATATGCACCTGTGCAGACATTCTCTGTCTCAGGAGGCAGAGCCCCTGGGAGCTGAGGTGCTGTCTGCACAATACTATAAACTACTGACAGATTTAACTCCATTCTGTGGACTAGGAGCGGTTTGACTAGCAGACTCTCCTCTGTGTATCTGATGTAAAAACCACAATCAAAAACACCCACAATACCACAGCACCAAGCTGATTAAGCGTGACTAGCTCTTCTCAGTTCTCTCTCCTATGCTCACTTGTAGCTGATTTGTTTGTTTTGCATTCTATGAGGGCTCCCAAGCAGGCAGGCAAGTGAACACTTAAGATTTAAGACCAAGTTGTGTTTAGGATTTAAGACAAATTCTTGGGGCTGGCCCCAGTGGCTTGCGCCTGTAATCCTAGCACTCTGGGAGGCCAAGGGGGGAGGATCGCTCAAGGTCAGGTGTTCGAAACCAGCCTGAGCAAGATCGAAACCCCATCTCTACTAAAACCAGAAAGAAATGAATTGGCAAACTAAAAAATACAAAGAAAAAACTAGCCGGGCATGGTGGTGCATTCCTATAATCCCAGCTACCTGGGAGGCTGAGGCAGAAGGATTGCTTGAGCCCAGGAGTTTGAGGTCTGTCTCAAAAAAAAAAAATTTTTTTTTAATAAAAAATAAACGAATATACACACTGCAGTCTGTTACAAAGAATGTTCGTATTGGCCGGGTGCGGTGGCTCATGCCTGTAATCCTAGCTCTCTGGGAGGCCGAGGTGGGAGGATCGCTCGAGGTCAGGAGTTCTAGACCAGCCTGAGCAAGAGCGAGACCCCGTCTCTACTAAAAATAAAAAAAAAAAATTTGACTGGCCAACTGAAAATAGAAAAAAAGAAAGAAAGAAAGAAAGAAGAATGTTCATATGCACATTGCCATTTGACGCTCTCAATAACCAGTAAAATAAAGATTATTACCTGCCCCATAAACAAAGGAAGAAACTGAGGCTCAGGGAAGAGGTATCTCTATGCAAAGACCTCATGGCCAGGGGCTACAAAGACAACAGTTAAAAGCCTGAACCTAGGTCTCCTGACCCCCCACTCCCTTCTTTCCAATGGACCAGGAACCTCTTCAGTTGTGTGGGAGAGAGGAGGGAAGCAGCAGATGATTAGTCTCCCAGGTCTGTGAGCTGCTGGAAGGCAGAGGAAGGGTCTGTCTCTGCCTGCTTTCCTCCAGGCTTGGCACAGAGCACAGGCACATGGAGAATGTCCGCTGACGAGCGTCTGACTGCAGCAAGAGTTGAGACCTGGGACTGGGTGCGGTGGCTTACGCCTGATATCCTAGCACTCTGGGAGGCTGAGGCGGGAGGATCACTCGAGGTCAGGAGTTCGAAACCTGATCAAGGGCGAGACCTCATCTCTACTAAAAATAGAAAGAAATTAATTGCCCAACTACAAATATATAGAAAAAATGAGCTGGGCACGGTAGTGCATGCCTGTAGTCCCAGCTACTCGGGAGGCTGAGGCAGGAGGATCGCTTGAGCCCAGGAATTGGAGGTTGCTGTGAGCTAGGCTGACGCCACAGCACTCTAGCCCAGGTGACAGAGTGAGACTCTGTCTCAAAGAAAAAAAAGAGTTGAGACGTGGGAAAGATCAGTGGGGGCCAGAGTTGCCGGGGAAGTCTTCCTGCCAGGGGAGGTACTTGCCCGGAAGCCCGGGGAGCAGGGGTAGCGGGTGGGGAGGAACAGCATGGACAAGGACTCAGAGGCCGGGCAGAGCTAGATGTGGCGCCAGGGGAACAGTCACTCTGCTTTTTCTCCCTGCAGACCCAGGGCTCCAGCCTGGTGATACTCGACCTCATCATCCCCTTCCCGAGGCCTGGGGACTGTGTCCTGGTAAGGAACCCTACCCTCATTCCTGCACACGGACCCCTGTCATCTACTCCACCGGTGGCCCATGTGAAAAAGCCCATCATCGAAGATGTCTGGTTTGGCTAGCACAATGTTTGAAATTGGAATTAGACCGTTTATGTATGTACATAAAGCTGGGTTTCTGGCTTCTCCTGAAGAAAATCAGAAAACCCGGTGCCATGCATCCTGCATTCTGGCATGGTGGCGGTGGCTCAGCGGTGTCTGAGTGTTTTGGCCAAGGCCTGCCCTTCAGGGCCTCACGCCAGCCCTGGCCAATGTTATGAATTTACTTTGTGAGTCTGGCCACTTGTCACGCTCGAGTTTGCCATCCTCGACACGCTCGGTGCCAGGGCGAGAGCTGGGCCAGACACAAACCCTGCACTGGAGGAATTCCCCGGCCCTTCTCCCCCCTCCCCCGCTGGCCCATGCCACCCCTCCTGCAAGCAGGGCATGCCCTGGCGCTCACAGGGGTGGGGTCTCTGTGCCCTCAGGTGTGGAGGTCAGATGTCCAGTTCGCCTGGAGACACCGCTTGTGTCCTGATGGTGAGCTCTTGGTGGGGGTGGGGAGGTCAGAGGGAGGTGGGGCACTGAGTAGCTGGGCTTGGCCTCACCCTGCTCGATTGACTCAGTCTCTCACAGACACCTGGGGCTCCTGATCCTGGCACTGCTGGCCCTTACCACCCTCCTGGCTGTTGTTCTGGTTCTCACCCTCTGGCGCCCACTGTCAGGTAAGCTCACCTGCAGGTAACCTGGGGGTTCAGACCTGTGCAGCTCCCAGGCTAGTTGCCCCCTCGCCCCTCCCCTGCCAAGGCCTCCTGCCCCTACCACCCAAGTGGTGATGAGCCTCAGGCCACTCCGTGCACCCCACGAGGTTAGTGAACCGAGACCCTGGGCAAGAGGCAAGTGGGGTGGATGGAAATCCAGCCTGCACTGCACTGAGCAAGCCTGGGGCCCTGGTCCTTGCTCCCGGAATTAGCCCACGGGCACCCTCTGGGCTAGGGCTGCTTTGGGCACCAACCCTCAGGGCAAAAGAGGGGGGAGGAGGGGGAAGGGGAGGAGGCACCCTACCCTATGGTGCAGCCTGGAGATAGGGCAGGAGAGGGCCAGGCGGTGGCTTAGACGCCCACCCGGTTCCCCGTTGCTCCCGCCCAGGCCCAGGCCACGCCGCGCGGCCGGTGCTGCTGCTGCACTCGGCGGACTCGGAGGCGCAGCGACGTCTGGTGGGAGCGCTGGCCGAGCTGCTGCGGGCCGCGCTGGGCGGCGGGCGCGACGTGATCGTGGACCTGTGGGAAGGGAGGCGCGTGGCGCGCCTGGGCCCGCTGCCGTGGCTCTGGGCGGCGCGGGCGCGCGTGGCGCGGGAGCGGGGCACGGTGCTGCTGCTGTGGAGCCGGGCCGACCCCGGCCCGGCCGCGCGCGACCTCACGCGCAGCCCCTGCGCGCCCTGCTGCGCGCCGCCCCGCGCCCGCTGCTGCTCGGCTACTTCGGCCGCCTGTGCGCCAAGGGCGACATCCCCGCGCCGCTGCGCGCCCTGCCGCGCTACCGCCTGCTGCGCGACCTCCCTCGCCTGCTGCGGGCCCTGGACGCGCGGCCACCCCCCGGCGCCAGCGGCTGCGGCCTCGGGGCGCGGCGGGGCGTGCGCGGCCGGCTGGAGCTGTGCCGCCGGCTGGAGCGCGAGGCCGCCAAACGGGCCCACCGAGGCTGAGCACGCCCCACCGCCGGCCCGGACGTCTGCGGGCCGCAGCGCTGGAACCACGCAATGAGCCTGGAGTCTTGGCGTCCTCCGGGTGCCACCCCCCCAGGACTAGGGGCCTGAAAGCCCGGGAGTCCCGGCCCCCACCTCTGCGACGCGGGTCCTGCTTCTTCCCCGCACTTACCCTGCCTCTAGGGATCCTGAGGGAGTCGCTCGGAGAATTCCTTCAACCCCCTGTTCTGGCGAGGGAGGGCGACCTTCCCGCTTCCTCTCTCCAAGACTTGCAGGAGAGCAGTCTGGAATGCTGCAGTCCAGGCGGGGGGGGGGGGGGGGGGGGGCGGCCGGGGGGGTGGCAGGGTGAGAGGGGGCGCGAGCTGACCCCAAGTCAGCTCTGAAGGAAGGTGCCTGGGGTGGGGGGGTTGGACAACCCCCCCTTGGGGGGCAGAGAGCTCCGGTTCCTGTACCAGGGCCCTGCTCAGAGTGGAGGGAGGGAAGACTGGGCCCAGGAAAAGAGGCTTTGGCTCTGCGTGGCCAGGACACAGGTGGGTCAGGAGACGAAGGTCCAGAAAGATGAATAAAGGCAAACGTGGTAGAGAAACTAAGAAATGCAGTGTGCTTCTCTGGCATGGCTGGGGTCAGCAGGACGCTGCCGGGGGAGAGTTAGGCCCAGACCCCCACACCCCCACCAGCAGTGCCTCCCACAGGCCAAGGAGCAGGGGACAATTTCCTTGGTCCTCACTGCGACTCTTCCAAGAGAAGAGAGGGAAACACAGAGGCTCAGACAGGTGTCCCCCATCACACGACCAGCCCTGGGCGGCAGCACCCATGGGACCCCTGTCGGCCTGGCTCTGAGTCCCGGGTTTCTTTTCCCTGAACCCCACTTCAGCCCAGGTCAGGCAGTGGTGAATGGTCTGCTTTCTGGTGCCCTTTGGCCCTGGCTTTATTTTATTTATTTATTTTTTGAGTCAGAGTCTCACCGTGTTGCCCACTCTAGAGTGCTGTGGCATCAGCAACCTCAGACTCCTGGGCTCAAGCAATCCTCCTGCCTCAGTCTCCCGAGTAGCTGGGACTACAGGCATGTGCCACCATGCCACCATGCCTGGCTAATTTTTTTCTTTTTTAGTTGTTTGGCTAATTTCTTTCTTTCTTTTTTTTTTTTTTTTTTTTTTTTGAGACAGAGTCTCACTTTGTTGCCCAGGCTAGAGTGAGTGCCGTGGCATCACCCTAGCTCACAGCAACCTCAAACCCTGGGCAATGATCTCCCTGCCTCAGCCTCCCGAGTAGCTGGGACTACAGGCATGTGCCACCATGCCCGGCTAATTTTTTTTATATAATATCAGTTGGCCAATTAATTTCTTTCTATTTATAGTAGAGACGGGGTCTCGCTCTTGCTCAGGCTGGTTTTGAACTCCTGACCTTGAGCAATCCGCCCGCCTCGGCCTCCCAAGAGCTAGGATTACATAATTTCTTTCTATTTACAGTAGAGACTGGGTCTCGCTCTTGCTCAGGCTGGTCTCAAACTCCTGAGCTCAAGCAGTCCACTCGCCTGGGCCTCCCAGAGTGCTAGGATGACAGGCGTGAGCCACCGCGCCTGGCCTGCCTTTTTCAGGGGCCCCTCCCAGCCAGGTGTCAGCAGAGGCGGAGGAGAGCCATAGAAGGAGGAGGCTGGGCCACCACCCCAGTCCAAGGCTGCTGGCTCCCAGGCCTGGTGTCGGTGGGAGGGACACAGCAACAGGGGCGGGAACAGCCTGCTGCCTGCCGGGAGCCAAAGCGAAAGGAAAGCACTTGGGCTGGAACTAGGATAAGAGTCGGAACTGAGACTCTGGGAGAGGGAGTGCACAAGCTACCCGGCAGCACTGGGACCCCAGAAGCTGGGAAGGGATTCTGACCCTTGTCGCTCAGACACGGGGCTGAGTGGGGTCAGGGCTGGGGAGCCTGCCCCCCCTCGGGGGGGCAGGCCCGGGCCTCAGGCCTCGGTGTTGCCTGGCACCTGGAAGATGCCCGTGCCCTGGTTCTTGCTGTCCTTGGCACTGGGCCGCAGCCCTGTGGTCTTCTCTCTGGAGAGGCTGGTGGAGCCTCAAGACACCGCCTACTGCTCTCCGGTGAGTTTGGGGCCCTGGGAGGGTTGGGGAGTTCAGTCTTTGGCCCAGCAAAGCCCTAGCCTGGCTCCTGTCACTGCTGCCGCCACCAGAACCGCCCGGGCTGGTCTGTCTGGTACTGATGGGAGAAGAGAAGAGTAGGGAGAGGGGGAAAGAGCCGATCTGCCTTCTTCTGGGAGGGGCTTGGACTCGGCTGCCCCAGAAAGAGTTGGGCAAGGGTCTCAGGCAGAGAAAGGTGCTTGGATTTGGGCGCATAAACTCTGACTTTTCTTTTTTTTTTTTTTGAGACAGAGTCTCACTCTGTTGCGCGGGTTAGAGTGCCATGGCGTCAGCCTAGCTCACAGCAACCTCAGACTCCTGGGCTCAAGCAATCCTCTTGCCTCAGCCTCCTGAGTAGCTGGGACTACAGGCATGTGCCACCACGCCTGGCTAATTTTTTCTATATATATACTAGTTGGCCAATTAATTTCTTTCTATTTATAGTAGAGACAGGGTCTTGCTCTTGCTCAGGCTGGTTTCGAACTCCTGACTTTGAGCAATCTGCCTGCCTCGGTCTCCCAGAGTGCTAGGATGACAAGTGCAAGCTACCTCTCCCGGCCTAAACTCTGACTTTTCCTTCCTCTCCTTCCCAGGGCCTCTCCTGCCACCTCTGGGGTGAGTACAGAGAAAAGACCTTCCCGGGTTGGCCGAAGGGAGGAGAGTTCCATGAGAGTCCCCGTCCCCTGCCCTCCCCCCCCCAGCCTCAGCCCGGGAAGAGCCAAGCTCCTTGGCCCTCTGGAAAGTGTCAAGCACCACCACCCAACTCTGAGTCCCAAACGGCTTCAGCTCCCGCCTCCCTCTTCCTCTTCGCACACAGATGGCGATGTGCTTTGCCTGCCTGGAAGCATCCTGCCCGCCCCAGGCCCTGTGCTGGTGCCCACACACCTGCAGGCGGAGCTGGTGCTCAGGTGCCACCAGGAGACCGACTGCAACGTCTGCGTCCGTGTGGCTGTCCACCTGGCCGTGGGTGGTGAGTGAGCCACCCTGTGGCCCTGCATGTCCCAGGGCCCGGGGTGGGCGCGAGGGCGGGGCAGTCTGCAGGCAAGTGCTCGGTGCACTCCTGGAGGACACTTGCTGGAGGACCCCCAGCCTGCGGGGACTCCCCGAGCCTGCAGGAAAGCCAAGCCCGAAACCAGCCCAGCGCAGGGGCCTCCCCTGAGCCTTGTTCTCGGGCTCTTCTAGGGCACTGGGAAGAGCCCGAAGACGAGGAGAAGTCTGGAGGAGCAGGCGACCAAGAGCCTGAGGAGCCCAGGAATGGTGAGCAGAACCCGGCCAGCCCAGCCGCCCCTTGGCAGGGTCTTTCCTGGGGCGCCTGGGCCTGAATGACCCCTGCCCTGTTCTCACAGCCTCTCTCCAGGCCCAAGTCGTGCTCTCCTTCCAGGCCTACCCTGCCACCCGCTGCGTCCTGCTGGAGGTGCAAGTCCCTGCTGCCCGTGTGCAGCCCGGTCAGTCTGTGGTATGCAAAATAATAACAACAACAACCAGCTTCTCAATATGAAATCTATAAAAACGCCTTTGCAAGCATTATCTCTTTTAAGTCCTGATTCTGATCAGAGCCGTGGGGAAGTTCTTTCCGCCTTTCATGCCTCAGTTTTTCTGTCTGTCAAATGGGAATAAGAACAGTCCTACCTCCTACCTTTGACTTAGTGAGAAATCATCACGCAATGTCCTGGAGCCATTCTGCTATTCCATGCTCCTGCCAGCAGGGTATGGGAGTTTTGCTCACTTCTCATCTTTGCCAGTTCTGTGCATTGTGATTTTAAGTTTTAGCTGTACTGCTAAGTATGTAGTGGTATGTCATTGAGGTTTCAATTTGAACATCTCTGATAAAGTTGAGAGCATCTTTTCACATGCTTATTGGCTATTTGCGTAACTTCCTTTGTACATCGAGACCCCATCTCTACTAAGAATAGAAAAGAATTAATTGGCCAACTAAAAATATATATAGAAAAAATTAGCCGGGCATGGTGGCGCATGCCTGTGGCCCCAGCTACTTGGGAGGCTGAGGCAAGAGGATGGCTTGAGCCCAGGAGTTTGAGGTTGCTGTGAGGGAGGCTGACGCCACAGCACTCTAGCCTGGGCAACAGAGTGAGACTCTGTTTCAAAAAAAAAAAGAAATAAATTGATTCTTGACTCCCCTCCACCCTCTAACCCCCCCAGCCAGTATCCTCTTAGGTGGAAAGTTGCTGACCGGGAGGACATCTGCTTGGCCTACCTCACAACGACCACGGAGGCACTGGGTGTGAGAACCACTTTTGTCCAGGGGGGCACCCCACATTCGTGCTGGGGTGTCTTTCCTCCTCTGTAGCTTTGGCCAGGTGATCCAGGACAGCAGGGGTGGGCACAGGGGCTCAAGCTCAACGTTACTGAGGATGTTTGCTTCAGAATTGGGACCCTTGAAGGAAACTTGGAGGGTAGATTCCAGGCTCTGCAGTCTGAACATAGTCATTGGCTGGGGACAGCAGTCGGCGGGCAGAGTGGTCCACACCGATGGGCTCATGGCCCTTGGCTTGGATTCTGAGCCCTGTGGCACCAGCCTCCCCACACTCCTCTCCTCCTCACAGGGCTCTGTAGTATTTGATTGCTTCGAGGCTGCCCTGGGGGGTGAGATGCGGATCTGGTCCTACACTCAGCCCAGGTATCAGAAGGAACTCAACCTCACCCTGCAGCTGCCCGGTAAGTGGCCACAGAGCCCCGGGGGTCCCCAGTCCTGGCCTCCCTGGTCTCTGTCCCCCTCCAGGCACTCCCCTCCTGCTTTCTCCCTCTGCATGGTCCCATCTGCTCTCAGGCAGTTAGTCCCTTGAGACTTCTTTTCTTGGGTGACACCGCTTACCAGCCCCCGAGGAAGGCGTTTTGAGCACTGGATAGACGTGGGTGGGATTTGGGGAACAGGGAACCCTTCTCTGAGCCCCTTGTGGGTCAGATGGCCCCCTTTCTTTCCTAGGCCCCCAGCCCTACTGGAGGCTTTTCTGTGATCTCTCCCCAGACTGCAGGGGGCTCGAAGTCCGGAACAGCATCCAGAGCTGCTGGGGTAGGGGCTAGGGCCAGTGGGCTGGGAGGAGGGAGGGGCCGGGTCTGAAGTGTGAGGGACCCTTGGAGTCTGCTTCAGGTCTCCCACATCATTCATTCACTCATAACTCATGGACTACAGCGGTTGCTACTCTGTGCTAGGCACTGGGGAATATAAAGATAAATCTCTCATTCCTTGTACCAAATATTTATTAGTTTCAGGGACATCTAGAGGCCTAAAGCATTGTCAAGATTATGATACCTTCCTCCACATATCAAAATTAAAATTATACTAACCCTGAAATAAGAGCTAGGAAAGTCAAGGTTCCGGCTGGGCGAGGTGGCTCACGCCTGTCATCCTAGCACTCTGGAAGGCCGAGGCAGGCGGATTGCTCAAGGTCAGGAGTTCGAAACCAGCTTGAGCAAGAGGGAGACCCCGTCTCTACTATAAATAGAAAGAAATTAATTGGCCAACTAAAAATATATACAAAAAGTTAGCTGGGCATGGTGGCGCATGCCTGCAGTCCCAGCTACTCAGGAGGCTGAGGCAGGAGGATCGCTGGCGCCCAGGAGTTTGAGGTTGCTGTGAGCTAGGCTGACGCCATGGCACTCTAACCCGAGCAACAGAGTGAGACTGTCTCAAAAAAAATAAATAAAATAAAAATATTAAAAAAAAAAAGAAAGAAAGTCAAAGTCCTGATTTTTTTTCCATGCACTATTTGGATTTTGTTTTTGCATTTTATTTTTATTTTGAGACAGGGTCTCACTTGGTTGCCTGGGCTATAGTGCAGTGACATCATTCATAGCTCGCCACAACCTCAAAATCCTGGGCTCAAGTGCTCCTCCTGCCTCAGCCTCCCTGAGTATCTGGAATGACAAGCATGTGCCACCATGTCTGGCTAATTTTTTTATTTTTAATTTTTTGTAGAGATGGTGTCTGGCTATGTGGGTTAGGTTGTTCTCAAACTCCTGGCCTCAAGCGATCCTCCCATCTCGGCGTCCCAAAGTGCTAGGATTACAGGCATGAGCACGGTTGCCTGGCCTTTTATTTTCTTTTTTATTGTGTATTAATATGGATATATAAAAGTGTGTAAAGTGCACTAATTTTAATGTCTAGTGCAATTCGTTTTTACATATGTATACACTTGCATAACTAGCACTCGGATTAAGATAAAAACATTGTGATGTTTTTCCGAGCTATTAAATTTTTTTCAACTTCACTTTCTTTTTGGTTTCTTTTTTTTTTTTTTTTGAGACAGAGTCTCACTCTGTTGCCCAGACTAGAGCGCCGTGGCATCAGCCTACCTCACAGCAACCTCAAACTCCTGGGCTCAAGCAATCTTCCTGCCTCAGCCTCCCAAGTAGCTGGGACTACAGGCTTGCCCCACCATGCTCGGCTAATTTTTTCTATATATATTAGTTGGCCAATTAATTTCTTTCTATTTATAGTAGAGACAGGGGTCTCACTCTTGCTCAGGCTGTTTTAGAACTCCTGACCTCAAGCAATCCGCCCGCCTCGGCCTCCCAGAGTGCTAGGATTACAGGCGTGAGCCACGGTGCCCCGGCCATCGTTTTGGTTTCTTAAAATTAAACTTGGCCTGCCTCTTTGGCAATGAGCACCACTGAGCACCCCAGAGCTTTGGAAACACAGGTACACACCACGACACGTTTCCTTGCTTCATTCATTCAGTAGATACTGATTCATTTATTCAACAAATGTTTATTAATTACTCTGTGCCAGGCATGGCCCTGGACACTGGATATAGATCAATAAACAGCACTGACAAGCATCCCTGCCCTCTTGGATCTGGGAGTTGGGGTTGGAGTTGGGGTGAGGGAGGACACAGGAAACACATGGAGATGTGAAGTATGTAGTAAGTTAGATGGTGATTAGAGCTTAGGAGAAAATTCCAGAAAGGGGGATAGAAAGGTCAGGGATGGCCTCACTTTAGTGAGCAAAGACCTGAAGGAGGTGAGGGAGAAGCCAGGTGAGTTTCTTAGGGAAGAGAGTTCCATACAGAGGGCATGGCCAGTGCAAAGGGCCTGGGGCCAGGAGTGTGTCTTAGTATTAAGTGATGATAAGAAGGCCATTGTGTCTGTAGCAGAATAACTAAAGACTTGAGTCCTAGCAGATAGGTTAGAGAGGTCACAGCTCTAAGCAGAGGAAAATGATTTGTTTAAAAGGGCTCACAGGGCCCGGTGCTGTGGCTCACGCCTATAATTCCAGCACCGTGGGAGGCCGAGGCGGAAGGATTGATCCTTTGAGCTCCAGAGTTCAAGACCAGCCTGAGCAAGAGCGAGACCCCCATCTCTACTAAAAAAATAGAAAGAAATGAGCTGGACAACTAAAAAAATATATAAAAAGTTAGCCGGGCATGGTGGCGCATGCCTGTAGTCCCAGCTACTTGGAAGGCTGAGGCAGGAGGATGGTTTGAGGCCAGGAGTCTGAGGTTGCTGTGAGCTAGGCTGATGCCACGGCACACTACCGTGGGCAACAGAGTGAGACTCTGTCTCAAAAAAGGAAAAAAAGAAAAGATTTATTGTGGAGGATGCATCGACCGGGAGGTGGGAGGAATGGACTGCCTCAAATCTGCTTCCCCAGCCAATGGGGTCTTTCTGTAGGTTTCATGAATAATGCATGAAGTGAGTTAGCATCATTACATTTTTGGGTCAGTGTGCAGGGCAAACATGCGCAGTGGGAAGTCATGCTAGTACATACATGGCATGATCAAAATGGCGGATAGTCCCTCCCAGGGCAGGGATTGTAGTAGTATCATGGGCCAGGGGTTCATACTGGTCATATGAGTCGTTCTTTCTGCCTTGTGTGCAGATGGGACGCGGGGAGCAGGTTGCACAGTGGGTCCTTGGTGTGATCTGTGTGGTGGGGTGTCGCTTATCTGGTCTTCTCTGCACAAGCAGGTGGTGTGAGGCTTGGTAGCTAACTCGGGGCTGCAGGGAGGTTCTGCTGTTTCTGGGGGAAAGAACTCAAAAGGAAAATCCATCAGTGCAAGAGAAAGTTAGAAGGTTCTGGTCAGCAAATCTTACTGGTCTGGGCACTCAAAACATAAGAGGGCCGGGCGCGGTGGCTCACACCTGTAATCCTAGCACTCTGGAAGGCCGAGGCGGGCGGATTGCTCGAGGTCAGGAGTTCGAAACCAGCCTGAGCAAGAGAGAGACCCCTTCTACTATAAATAGAAAGAATTAATTGACCAAATAATATATATAAAAAAATTACCGGGTATGGTGGCACATACCTGTAGTCCCAGCTACTTGGGAGGCTGAGGCAGGAGGATCACTTGAGCCCAGGAGATTGAGGTTGCTCTGAGCTAGACTGAGGCCACGGTACTCACTCTAGCCTGGGCAACAAAGTGAGACTCTGTCTCAAAAAAAAAAACACAACAGGCCGGGCGCGGTGGCTCACGCCTGTAATCCTAGCTCTCTGGGAGGCCGAGGCAGGCGGATTGCTCAAGGTCAGGAGTTCAAAACCAGCCTGAGCAAGAGCGAGACCCTGTCTCTACTATAAATAGAAAAAAATTAATTGGCCGACTGATATATATATATATATATAAAATTTGCCGGGCATGGTGGCGCATGCCTGTAGTCCCAGCTACTCGGAGGCTGAGGCAATAGGATCGTTGAGCACCAGGCAGTTTGAGGTTGCTGTGAGCTAGGCTGACACCACGGCACTCACTCTAGCCTGGACAACAAAGCGAGACTCTGTCTCAAAAAAAAAAAAAAAACCAGCCCAAGCAAGAGCAAGACCCCGTCTATACTAAAAATAGAAAGAAATTAATTGGTCGACTAATATATATATACATATATATAGAAAAAATGAGCCGGGCATGGTGGCACATGCCTGTAGTCCCAGCTACTCGGGAGGCTGAGGCAATAGGATCGCTTGAGCCCAGGAGTTTGAGGTTGCTCTGAGCTAGGCTGATGCCATGCCACTCACTCTAGCCTGGGCAACAAAGTGAGACTCTGTCTCAAAAAAACCAAAAAAACCCATAAGGGAACAGTTGGTGGGTATGGCGCAGGCTTGGGCATGCAGTAGAGGGGCAGGAGGTGTAAGCTGCCCTCTCTCTCTGTGCCCCTCACCAGCCCTGCCCTGGCTCAGTGTGTCTGCGGAGGGTGAAGATGTCCGCCTCGTGCTGAACGTCTCTGAGGAGCAGCATTTCGGCCTCTCCCTGTACTGGAGTCAGGTCCAGGGCCCCCCCAAGCCCTGGTGGAACAGAAACCTGGTGAGGCCTCCCGCTCCCTGAGCCCATGCCCACTCCAGGGGGGTGCCCATGGCAAGGCTGTGTGTGCATTATCCAAGAGGACCCTTGAAGAGGGCATACCTGGAGCCAGGGAACTTCTGCCTGCCTGGTTTCCTTGACTCTGGCCTCCCCTTCTTCTTCCTCCTTAACTTCTCCGACTGCCTCCTTCTGCTTGTCCCGCAGACTGGGCCACAGACCATCACCTTGAACCACACAGACCTGGTTCCCTGCCTCTGTGTTCAGGTAGGAGCCGAGTCCAGCTGGGCGCCAGTGAGAGGGGGCTGGGAAGATGTTGAGAGGAGTGACGCCCTCCCCCATGTCCTCCTCCCACCATTCTCCATGCTCTTTTTTGGGGTGCACACTGTGGCTCCCTGGGTGGGGGGCTGGTTCTCCCTTGACTCTTTTTTTTTTCAGACAGAGTCTCGCTTTGTTGCCCAGGCTAGAGTGAGTGCTGTGGCGTCAGCCTAGCTCACAGCAACCTCAAACTCCTGTGCTCAAGCGATCCTCCTGCCTTAGCCTCCCGAGTAGCTGGAACTACAGGAATGCACCACCATGCCTGGCTAATTTTTTCTATATATTTTTAGTTGGCCAATTAATTTTTTTCTATTTATAGTAGAGACAGGGTCTCGCTCTTGCTGAGGCTGGTCTCGAACTCCTGAGGACAAAGATCTGGCCACCTTGGCCTCCCAGAGTGCTGGGATGACAGGCGTGAGCCACCGTGGCCGGCCTGTTTCCTGTGATTTAAACGTCCTCACTGCCAAGCACAGTGCCTGGCACATAGTGGTGCTCTTAAAGGTTTGATAAAGAAACTATTTTCTTTAGTGATTAACACAGGGCTAAGCACATAATAGATGCTCTTTAAAAAAAAAATCTACTGGGCCAGTCGTCGTGGCCCACCCCTGTCATCCTAGCACTCTGGGAGGCCGAGTTGGGCAGATTGCTTGAGGTCAGGAGTTCGAGACCAGCCTGAGCAAGAGCGAGACCCCCGTCTCTACTATAAATAGAAAGAAATTAATTGACCAACTAAAAATACATAGAAAAAATTAGCCTGGCTTGGTGGCGCATGCCTGCAGTCCCAGCTACTTGGGAGGCTGAGGCAGGAGGATGGCTTGAGCCCAGGAGATTGAGGTTGCTGTGAGCTAGGCTGACGACACGGCACTCACTCTAGCCCATGCAACAAAGTGAGACTCTGTCTCAAAAAACAAACAACAACAACAACAAAAAACCAAATAAATAAAATAAAAACCAAAAATGAAATAGAAAAATTAGCTGGGCGGGAGCCTGCAGTCCAGCTACCTGGGAAGTGCCTGTGGGCCTTTGGGGCGGGCCCAGCAGGTGCTCATCAGGGAGGCTTGTCTGGCTGGAATCGATCTGAGCGGAGCCCTGTTTCCTTTCCAGGTGTGGCCCCTGGAGCCAGACTCGGTCAGGACGGACATGTGCCCCTTCAGGGAAGGTGAGCCAGGGCGGACTGGGGGCGGTGCCGGGGGCGGGCGCAGGGTGCGCGGTGACGGCGCCCTGTCCCTGCAGACCCGCGCGCGCTGCGGAACGCCTGGCGCGCCGCCCGGCTGCGGCTGCTCTCCCCGCGGAGCTGGCGGCTGGACGCGCCGTGCTGGCTGCACGCCGAGGCCGCGCTGTGCTGGCAGGCGCCGGGCGGGGGCCCCTGCCAGCCGTTGGTCCCGCTGCTGCCCTGGGAGAATGTCACTGTGAACGTAAGCTAGGTGGCACCCTGGGTGAGGGGAGAGTGGGGAACGTGGGGCTCCCCCTTTTGTGATCCCACCCGCTGCCCTCTTTCCACAGGAGGCCCGCGAATTCCCGTTGCTAAAAGGCCACCCTAACCTCTGCGTCCAGGTCAGAAAGGCGTGCCAGAGCTGGGCTGGGGCAGGAGCTGTGCACACCCCCAGACAAGTCACTGTTCTCTCCCCCGCCTTTATTCTTGGGCCCCTAAGGTGCGAGGGTTATGGCTTCCTCTCTGGAGGTGCATGGGAGCCTGGACAAGTGTCCTCACCTCTCTAAACGTTAGTCTCCAGTCATCTGTTTCCTGCAGATGATAATATAGTAACTACTTCATAGAGTGGTTGTGAATATGAAATAAGAGAAGTGCTTAGCCTTAGGGATTAGTACAGACTACATGCTCCATAAATGTTAGCTGCTTCTATTATTGCTATCATTATTCTCTTTCCCCACCTGTAGAGTGGGTTGCTCTACTACTTCAAGGGGTGATCATAAAAATAGTCACTCATTCAAGATTTATTGAGCATCTACTAGGCACTGTTATAGGCACTTGTGATAGATCTGCCAGTGAACAAGACCAATAAATATGCCCACCCTCATAGAACTTATGTTCTAATGGGGAAAATCAGACAATAGACATTGTGAGTAAATGACACAGCATATGAAAATTGCATGCAAATACTATGGGAGGAGCTAGAAAGATGGGGAGGATTGGGCTTGCAATTTTAAGTGTGTGGAGGTGCATCAGGTGAAAAGGGAATCTTCTCATTGAGAAGGTATTCAGGTGAGAGAATATATGAAGTGCTTTGCAGGAAAAGAGCTCTTAGGGACAAAAAACCCTTTACCACAGACGACTTCACAAAGCCTGGGCTAAGAAAGATGAGTGACTCCCAATCACCCACCTGGAACTCAAACCTGCCTAAGGTCAGGGCCAGAGTATAGACTCCCAACCGGAGAGGCCTCCGGCCTTTCTGGCCTTGGCTCTGGCTCTTCCTGGCGCCACTAACCCTGGCCCCTTCTGAGCAGGTGAGCCACTGGGAGAAGCTGCAGTTGCAAGAGTGCCTGTGGGCTGGTGAGTGGAGCCTGAAGGCGGCTGGGGCAGGTGAACTGGCTCCTGGGGGTGAAGGTCAGGGAACGGGGGCAGGGCAAGTGGCCATTCCTAGTAAGGGGTTTTGGTCAGAGTGGCCTCTCCCCCTTTCTAGACTCCCTGGGACCCCTCAAGGATGACATGCTGCTGGTGGAGACTCGAGGGCCCCAGGACAGCCGGTCACTCTGTGCTCTGGAACCCAGCGGCTGCACTTCCCTGCCCAGCGGGGCCTCCACGGTGAGGGCTGGGGAACCCTCCAACGCAGACCTCTCCAGCACCTTCTCACACCTGGCCTAATTTTCACTCCAGCCGCCCACCCTGTGCGGGTCTCTGGGGATGTGGGGGTGACTCAGTGCCGGGCCCTGTGTGGTGGCCTCTCAGAAGTCTCCCCCCCCCATTCTGCCCGGCTGCAGCCAGGTGGGTGCCACCCCCAGGTAACAGCCCACTCATCTCTTGGCTTGGCAGAGAGCAGCTCACCTCGGAGAGCAGTTACTGCTAGACCTGCAGTCAGGCCAGTGTGTGCAGGTGAGTAGGAGGTCGAAGGGCCCTAAAACTAGCACTGCCCTATTGTCTGTGCTTATTTCATGTTCAGCCCTGGAGACGTTAAGAGTAGAAGAAACAGTTCCTATCCCCAAGTTCACTGCTGCCAGATTTGGCATGCTAGGCAGTCCGCAGAGCGCAAGCAGAGGCGGGGCAGCCTGCAGGAGCCCGCAGTGTGTTGGGGGAAAATATACGCAGCGGAGGCTGGGAATCTGGAGAGCACCATCATCAGAACTTGGTGGGTGCTGAACACCAAGCTGGAGGCCTGAACTGGGTTCTATTTGTGTCTTACAGCTGTGGGATGATGACGTGGGAGCCCTGTGGGCCTGCCCCATGCACAAGTGTGAGTATTATAAGAACTGCCCTTTCTCTCTGTACCAGGAGCTGGAATCTTGACAGGGACTCCCACTGGGAACAGCACATGTAACGGCCTTGTCCTTCCCTGGGCTCAGATAAATCAGAGGGTCATTCCCTCATGGATTTAAAAAGCACGAGGCCGGGTGCGGTGGCTCACTCCTGTAATCCTGGCACTCTGGGAGGCCCAGGTGGGAGGATTGCTGGAAGTCAGTTCAAAACCAGCCTGAGCAAGAGCGGGACCCTCTCTCTACTATAAGTAGAAATAAATTATTGGCCAACTAATATATAGAGAAAAAATTAGCCGGGCATGGTGGCGCATGCCTGCAGTCCCAGCTACTTGGCAGGCTGAGGCAGGATTGCTTGAGCCCAGGAGATTGAGGTTGCTGTGAGCTAGGCTGATTACATGGCACTCACTCTAGCCTGGGGAACAAAGCAAGACTCTGTCTCAAAAAATAAATAAATAAATAAATAAAAAGCATGAGAGCTTGCAGAGATCTCAGTATTACCAAAAAGATCCAATCCCTGCCCCCACCTGTAGAAGACTAGCAAGACATTAGCCAATCACTTACATAGTGTTTAAGTGTGAGCTGTTCAATACTTAGAGCAGTGTGAGCTTACAACAGTGTGAGCTACTGAAGCACGAAAAAGTGTTGAGTCTGTAAATGCATGTAATGGGGACCTGACCTAGGCGGGGTGAGGGGTTCAGGTAAACGATTTGAGCTGCACTCTGAAGGCTGAGCTAGGTGAAGGGCGTAGAGATGTATCTTTGTAATGACTGTGGGGCACTTTTCTGAGGAACTCCAAGGTGGGCAAGTGTGGCTAGAGTCATAGACAGGCAAGCCTCTGTCATGAGATGAAGATGCAGGAGCTGGTAGGGAATTTGTATTTCATTTGGAGCAGCAGGAGTTTCCTTAAGAATTACAGTCAAATTTATATTTTAAAAAGATCTCTAAGGCTGGGAGCAGTGGCTCATGCCTGTAATCCTAGCACTCTGGGAGGCTGAGGCTGGCGGATCGATTGAGCTCAGGAGTTCGAGACCAGCCTGAGCAAGAGGGGGACACCGTCTCTGCCAAAAATAGAAAGAAATTAATTGGCCAACTAAAAATATATAGAAAAAATTAGCCGGGCATGGTGGCGCATGCCTGTAGTCCCAGCTACTCGGGAAGCTGAGGCAGAAGGATCGCTTGAGCGCAGAAATTTGAGGTTGCTGTGAGCTAGGCTGTAAGCTAGCCATAGCAACAGAGCAAGACTCTGTCTCAAAAAAAAAAAAAAAAAGATCTGAGACTGCCATGTGGAGAACAGACTGGGAGCAAAAAAAGACAAGGCAGGGACACCAGTTTAGGAGGCTATTGCAGACATCCAGTACAGCCAGGTCAAGCAAGGGCCCAGCAACCCTAGGCTTAGGGGACAATAATATTAGCTGACATTTGAGCACTTACAATGCTCCGCATTGTGTTAACTGCTGTGTGTATTAATATATTTAATCCTCACGTCAACCCTATGAAGTAGGTGCTATTGTTATCCCGATTTTACAGAGGTGAATACTGGGGCAGAAGGTGAAGTCACTTATCCAAAAGCCACCCAAACAGATGGAGCTATACTTATATACTGGCTCTGACACTACCTCCCAGTTGACTCCGAGCAAATCACTTCATTTCTCTAAGTCTCTAGGAAGGGCTGAACGCGTAAGGTTTCTTCTAACGTTCTTCTCTGGGTCTCCCAGACATCCACAAGCGCTGGGCCCTGGTGTGGCTGGCCTGCCTGCTCTTTGCCGCTGTGCTTTCCCTCCTCCTCCTCCTCAAGAAGGACCATGTGAAAGGTGAGCACTTCTGGTCTCCCCCATTCCCCAGGGGCAGGAGGAGTGAGCCTGGGAGTTCTCTGAGGGAAGGTTGCCCCCCAAACTCACCAGCCACTCCGCCCATCTCCTCTAACAGGGTGGCTGAGGTTTTTGAAGCAGGACGTCCGCTCGGGGGGTGAGTGGGCACAAGCGCGGGGCGGGGGGGCCGCGCCTGCCCGGAGGGCTGGGCCAGAGCACCTCACCTCCCCCCTCCCTCTCTGTTCTCTGCGGCAGCCAGCGCCAGGGCCCCCGCGGCTCTGCTCCTCTACTCGGCTGACGACGCGGGCTTCGAGCGCCTGGTGGGGGTCCTGGCGTCGGCGCTGTGCCGGCTGCCGCTGCGCGTGGCCGTGGACCTGTGGAGCCGGCGCGAGCTGAGCGCGCAGGGGGCCCTGGCCTGGTTCCACGCGCAGCGGCTACAGACCCTGCAGGAGGGCGGCGTGGTGGTCCTGCTCTTCTCGCCCGGGGCCGTGGCGATGTGCAGCGAGTGGCTGCAGGACCTGGCGCTGGCGCCTGGGGCGCACGGCCCGCACGACGCCTTCGCCGCTTCGCTCAGCTGCGTCCTGCCCGACTTCTTGCAGGGCCGGGCGCCGGGCCGCTACGTCGGGGCCTGCTTCGACGGACTGCTGCGACCGGACGCCGTGCCCTCCCTTTTCCGCGCCGTGCCCGTCTTCTCGCTGCCCTCGCAGCTGCCCGACTTCCTGGGGGCTCTGCAGGGGCCCTGCGTCCGCCGGCCCCGGGGGCTAGCGGAGCGCGCGGAGCGGGTGTCCCGGGCCCTCCAGCAAGCCCTGGACAGCTGCGTCCGGGCCCCGGGGCCGGGTCCCCCAGCGGCGGGGGACCAGACTTGAATAAAGGCAGACGCTATTTTTCTACCCGTGTCGCCCCCGCGTGTCTCTACGGCCGAGCAGCCGGGCTGGCGAGCCGCGGGCTCCAACCCCGCGGCCCTTTAAAGCGCGCAACAGGTGCAGCCCGGCTCCGTCTCGGATTGGCTAGCGCGGGGTGACGCAATGGCACACGGCCCGCCGCTATTGGCTGGACGGCGGGCTCCGCCCCCCCGGACTGCGGCGCCCGTGGAGGTCCTACGCTTGACGCAGGCGGTGCGGGCGGCGGCGGCGCGGAGGAGTCTGGTCCCCCGGCGCGCGCGCGACCGGGGCGGTCGTTTCCTGCTGCTCAGTGGTCTGCGCGGGTCTGGATCCTCCCCTGCCGGCCCGGGAGCCGTGCCTTTGCCCGCCGGCGAGGCCCGGAGCCGACCCATCCTCTTCATATCCGGATCCGGGTTCTGGACACCTCCCCCCAATCTGGCCTCCTACCCCTCAGTGCTTGGAGTCTGACCTCTGCTCCCCAGCTCTGCGGATCCGGCCCTTAGCGTTTGTTTGCTCAGACCCTAGAACGAGGATGCAGTTCACCTTCCCCACAGTAATGGGGCTAGCGTGTTTCCCTCCTGGAATTGCAGACTAGGCCCCTTTCCCCACCTGTCCACTCCGCCCCTGGCCTCCTTTGCTCATCTTAATGCAGACTCGGAACTGACCCTTTGCTTTCTCACCTGGGGCCTGGCTCCTTCAGTGAACCCTCCTCCCCGCACCCCCTCTGTCTGCAGGTCCCCAGCCTGGGAAAAGATGGCCCCGCGGCCGGCCAGGGGCCTGGTCCAAGCTCTGCTCTGGGGCCTGAGCCTCTTCCTCAGCCTCCCAGGCCCTGTCCGACTCCAGCCCTCTCCGCTGCCTCAGTCTTCTCCCCTGCCTGAGCCCCATCCGTGTCACACCTGCAGGGCGCTTGTGGACAGCTTCAACAAGGTGGGTGCGTCAGCAGCCTCGAGGAAGGGGGGCACAGCCACTGTGGCATGTCGTTGAGTGCGAGGGGCTCTGGGGTGCGAATCTGCCTGGATTCAGGACCCATCCTGGTTGCTTATTAGCTGCATGACTTTAGGCAGGAGTTGCCTCTCTGTGCCTTAGTTTCCTGGTGAGTGAAATAGTGAAATGCTAGCATGTGCCAGGCACTCTACTTAGCTATTACTAATTTTCTCTGTTTCCAGGGCCTGGAGAGAACCATCCGGGACAACTTTGGAGGTGGAAACACTGCCTGGGAGGAAGAGAAGTTGTCCAAATACAAAGACAGGTAAGGGGCTGGTTGAGAGGGAGTGCTCTATACCCTTATATACCCTACCTCTTAGCCTTTTAGGGAATCGTTTTTTTTTTTTTTTTGAGACGGAGTCTCATTCTGTTGCCTGGGCTAGAGTGCCATGGCGTCAGCCTAGCTCACAGCAACCTCAAACTCCAGAGTTCAATCAATCCTTCTGCCTCAGCCTCCCGAGTAGCTGGTGACTACAGGCTCTTGCCACCATGCCCAGCTAATTTTTTCTATTTTTAGTGGAAATGGAGTCTCGCTTTTGCTCAGGCTGGTCTCGAACTCCTGTGCTCAAGCGATCCTCCCACCTTTACCTCCCAAAGTGCTAGGATTACAGGCGTGAGCCATTGTGCCTGGCCAGGGAGTACTTGTTCATTCAACAAATATCACTGAACGTCTGTAGTATAGCAGTAAACAAGACAAGTGAAATCTCATCTTCCTGGAGCTTACATCTTAGTAGAAGAGACAAATAGTGAATAAGTAAACGAAAAATACTACGACAGGTGAAGAAAAAACAGTGAAGCAAGGAGGACTACAGAATGGTGGAAGACAGGGTATTCAAGGAGTGACATTTGAACAGAGACCTGGAGTGGAGAAGCAAGCTATGCGACAGTTGGGGAAGGGGTTTGGGCAGAGGATGGGACTGAGCCTGGTGTACTTGAGAAGTGGAGCGAGCAATAGGGAAGCTGGTAGACGGTGAAGGCCCGAGATCCAGGCCTTGACGGCCACAGAAGGTAGTTTAGATTTTGTTCTGAGTGTGATGGGAAGCCACCGGTAGGTTATGAGCAGGAGAAGTGATGTGGTCTTATTTTTACCTTTAAAAGACCCCTTCCACTACTATGTAGCCAACAGACTACAGGGGGCCAGGGTGGAGGAAGCTGGGAGACCAGTTTGGGAAGCAAGTGCCTCCTCTAGGCATGAAGGCCGCATGAGCTAGTATAACTAGTGGTGGGCATGGTAAGGAGGAGTCACATTCTGGGTATATGCTGCAGATGGACCAGTAGGACTCGATGATGGATTTGTTATGAGGAATAAGAGAAAAAGTAGAATAAAAGATGTTTACTCAGTTTGGGGCCTGAACTATTGGGTGAACAGTCTGACTGTCTCTGAGATGGTAAGACTGGGAGTGGGAGGGCGACCAAGAAGATTTAAGGGAGGGGTGGGATGAGGTATTCTCATTGAACATGTTGGGCTGAGATGTCCATTAGATATCCAAGTCGATTCCATCCACGTCTGGAATTCTGGGGAGAAGTAGGAACTGGAAATAGGAATTTGAGAGACATCAGTGTGTAGTCAGCATATAAAATCATGGGAAGATATGAGATCGTATATTAATAGAAAGCTGAGGCTTGAACCCTAGGCCCTCTAGCTTTTCAAAGTCAAATCAAGGGCCGGGCGCGGTGGCTCACGCCTGTAATCCTAGCACTCTGGGAGGCTGAGGCAGATGGCTTGCTCGAAGTCAAGAGTTCGAAACCAGCCTGAGCAAGAGTGAGACCCCGTCTCTACTATAAATAGAAATAAATGAATTGGCCAACTAATATATACAGAAAAAATTAGCTGGGCATGGTGGCGCATGCTTGTAGTCTCAGCTACTCAGGAGGCTGAGGCAGCAGGATCGCTTGAGCCCAGGAGTTTGAGGTCGCTGTGAGCGAGGCTGTTGCCACGGCACTCACTCTAGCCCGGGCAACAGAATAAAACTCTGTCTTAAAAAAGAAAAAAAGAAAAAAAAGAAAGCTGAGGCTTGAACCCTAGGCCCTCCAGTTTTTCAAAGTCAAATCAAAGAGGAGTGAGCAAAGACTTGGAATTAGATACCCTGGTTGTTGGTTCTTACTATTTGTTACCTAGGGAAGGTCACTGAACCTGTCAGAGTCACAGTTTCTTCACCTGTAAAATGGGGATATTGCTACCTGCTTTGCCTATTTCATAGGATTGTGGTAAGGGTTAAGCTGGGGTGCCCACTAGAAATAAGAGGGTTTGTTATTATGTAACATTGGTTGTTTCCCTCCATGGGCCTCAGTTCCCTCATTTAGGAATGAGGGGATTGACCCAGATAACCCCGTGGGGACTTCCAGCTTTATAAAGATGGCTCCTGAGTTTATAAAGATGTCTGGTTTTTAAAATCACCTCCTATGTGCCAGGCACTATGCCAGACCCTTTAAATACATGATATAACTACATCAAATATTCATATATTGGATTTTTTTTCTTTTCTTGCTGAATTAAGCAGAATATATTTTTTTAGTTGTGATAAACTACACAAAAAATTGTACCATTAGGGACATTTAGTATATTCACAATGTTGTCCACCATCACCGCTATCTAGTTCCAGAACATTTTCATCATCTGGAAAAGAAACCCCATATCCAGGCCAGGGGCGGTGGCTCACGCCTACAATCCTAGCACTCTGGGAGGCCCAGGCAGGTGGATTGCTCAAGGTCAGGAGTTCAAAACCAGCCTGAGCAAATGCGAGACCCCATCTCACTAGAAACAGAAAGATATTAAGTGGAAAACTAAAAATACATAGAAAAAAAATTAGCCGGGCATGGTGGCGCATGCCTGTAGTCCCAGCTACTGGGGAGGCTGAGGCAGGAGGATTGCTTGAGCCCAGGAGATTGAGGTTGCTGTGAGCTAGGCTGACACCACAGCACTCTAGCTTGGGCAACAGAGAGAAAATCTGTCTCAAAAAAAAAGAAACCCCATATCCATCAAGCAGTCAGTCCTATTCCCTCTTCCCCCAGCTCGTGGCAACCACGAATCTGCGTTAATCAAGCAAAAATCTATATAGATTTGCTGATTTCACTTTGAATCATAAAATATGTGGTCTTTTGTGTCTGGCTTCTTTCACTTAGCACATTTCCAAGGTTCATCCGTGTTGAAGCATGTAAGAACTTCATTCTTTTTTATGGCCAAATAATATTCCGTCATATGGTTATAGCACATTTTGTTTATCTATTCATCAATTGGTGGACATTTGGGTTGTTTCTGTCTTTTTGGCTATTAGAGTGGTGTTATGAACATGTGTGTAGGAGTTTTTGTCTGAATACCTGTTTTCCAATCTTTTGGGTCTATGCCCAGGAAGGGAATGGGTGGGTCATACAGTGATTCCGTATTTAACTTACTGAGGAGCTGCCTTTCCACAGTGATCATGCCCTTTTGCATTCCCACCTCCATGTAGGAGGGTTTTACTTTCCCCACATCGTTGCCAACACTTGCTATGTGATATAATTTTTTTTTTTTTGAGACAGAGTCTCACTTTTTTGCCCAGGCTAGAGTGAGTGCCGTGGCGTCAGCCTAGCTCACAGCAACCTCAAACTCATGGGCTCAAGCGATCCTCCTGCCTCAAGCCTCCCTTGTTCATTTTTAAGGATGAAACATGAAAAAGAGATTATTACTTTAATATAAAAAAAAAAAAAAATGTCGCCCCATGTAGTCCCAGTAGCTGGGACTACAGGCATGCGCCACTGCGCCGGGCTAATTTTTTCTGTATATATTAGTTGGTCAATTAATTTCTTTCTATTTTTAGTAGAGACGGGGTCTTGCTCTTGTTCAGGCTGATTTTGAACTCCTGAACTTGAGCAATCCTCCCACCTCAACCTCCCAAAGTGCTAGGATTACAGGCATGAGCCACTATGCCCTGCCTATATGATATAATTTTAGCCCTACCTACCCAGCATGGGTATTATATTCCACTGTTCAGATGCAGGGACTGAGGTCTCTGACAACAAACCTGCAGGGGGGGTATCGTCATCCCTGTTTTACAGATGAGAAAACAGAGGTTCAGCGGTTAAGTGACGTGGCCCAAGGTCACACAACTCGATTTGAACTCGAGTTGGTCTGCTTCCCAGAACCAGTACCCGTTCCATTATGCCCCATGGCCTCTCCTTTGATGTTGTCGTGGCCCGAGGAAGGGTCGGGGGAGAGAGACCCGAGGAAGCGGGGTGTGGCGGAGTGTGTCCCCACCTCCCCTGTCCCGTCCCTGTCAGTGAGACCCGCCTGGTCGAGGTGCTCGAGGGCGTGTGCAGCAAGTCGGACTTCGAGTGCCACCGCCTGCTGGAGTTGAGTGAGGAGCTGGTGGAGAGCTGGTGGTTTCACAAGTGAGTCGTGTGGGGCCTTCCCTGGGGGGGGCCTTCCCTGGGGGGGTGGCAGAGGGGTCACATGCCGGTGATAAGGCCTTGGCTTGGCCAGGAAGCGAGGGGGTTGCATGCTGGGGGCTGTGTCCCCAGATCTGTGAAGGACTTGCCAGGATACCCAAGCTCCCACACCGAGCCTCAGTTTATCTCTCTGCCAGATGGGGAAAGGGCATTGGTGGCCTCACGGGCCTTATGCCCAAGATGGGTTGAATCACAGAGTCGGCGGGGTAGGGGCTGGGCAGCACTGCCTGGCACTACCCCCTCCTCCCCCCACTCGCCCTGCCTCAGGCAGCAGGAGGCCCCGGATCTCCTCCAGTGGCTCTGCTCAGACTCCCTGAAGCTCTGCTGCCCCGCAGGCACCTTCGGGCCCTCCTGCCTTCGTGAGTTTGTCTGTTTATTATTATTATTATTGTTAATTTCTGACCAGAGTGCCTTTCAGAATCTGCGCGTTTTTAAAGTTCTTCCTGGGGCATGGGAGGGGACTTCTCTGGCCAGCCAGGGACCCTGTCCTGGCTCCGTCCCTAGCTGCCCGTGTGAGATCAGGCTACTGAGATCACTGCTCCGGGCCTGAGCTCTCGCCTGCCTCCCAGGGCTGGTGAGACGGGCAAGTGGGCAGGGAGCAGCTGGACACAGGCAGCAGGGCTGTGCTGGGTCAGGGGCAGTGTGGTTGTTGCCAGGTACTGTGGAATGCTGCCCCCCTCCGCCCCTTATTCCCAACGGAATGGGGTCAGACCAAGTCACCTTCCTGGGAGGGGTGGGCACTGCCCTGAAGCCCCCATTGTTCCTATCCATTCACACTCACAGTCCCGAAGCAGGACCTGAACTTACTACCAGCCCCTTTTAAAAACAGACTCTCTCCTGAAGCCGCACATGAAGAATTTAGCTACAAAGATGGTCAATTCAGTCTTTATAAAAGAAAAGATTTGTAAATAACCCAGTTGTTCCACACTAGGCAATTAAGTAAATTTCATGCAAATATCATGTTGTCATTAACATCTCTCTAAAAATGTTTAATGGTACGTAGAAAATATTCTCTTGCACGTCAAGGTCATCTGTAAGACCTCACCCAGTGTGGTGTCTTCCCATAGCCTGTCCTGGGGGTGCAGAGAGGCCCTGCGGCGGCTACGGGCAGTGTCAAGGGGAAGGGACCCGAGGGGGCAGCGGGCACTGTGACTGCCAAGCCGGCTACGGGGGTGAGGCCTGTGGCCAGTGCGGCCTCGGCTATTTTGAGGCGGAGCGCAATGCCAGCCATCTGGTATGTTCAGGTAGGTAGCCAAAGGGTGTGGCGCTGGGCAGGGGCAGACGGGGTACCTGCCTGCCTGTCCTCACACTGTGCCCCCATCCTACCACCCAGCTTGTTTTGGCCCCTGCGCCCGCTGCTCGGGACCTGAGGAATCAAACTGTTTGCAATGCAAGAAGGGCTGGGCCCTGCATCACCTCAAGTGTGTAGGTGAGTGGGGGGTACCTAGGCCTGGGGAGCACGGGCAGGGGCCTGGGCGTGGCCCCTCCTTCCCTCAAGACATGCACCTGGGCTGGAGCTACACAGTCCCACCATCCTGGCGATCTCGGCCAGGCTCGGACGGAACAGACTGACCCGTGCACAGTGAGACGTCCCTGACCCAGTGCCGTGGAGCCGCTGGTGGGGGATCCGCAGAGGCTTCTCAGAGGAGGTGGTCACTGCAGCCAGGCCTGAAAAGTGAAGAAGGGCTGGCCAGGGGATGAGAGCACTGCAGTTGGGGTCAGGAAACCCGGGGTTGATGCTGGATTTGGTCCCTGCCTAGCCACTCACATAGACGAGGGTAAAAGTTAAGCTGCCGTAACAGAAAGATCCCCCAGAGACTGTGGCTTAGAGAACCTATGTGTTTATTTTTTCCTCGTGTCACAGTCCTGAAGTGAACGGCCCATGCTGGCAGGGAAGCTCTGCTTGTCACAGTCATTCAAAGACCCAGGTTTTTCTTTTCTTTTCTTTTTTTGGAGACAGTTTCACTCTGTTGCCCGGGCTAGAGTGCTGTGGTGTCAGCAACCTGGCTCACAGCAACCTCAAACTCCTGGGTTCAAGTGATCCTCCTGCCTCAGCCTCCCCAGTAGCTGGCACTATAGGCATGCGCCACCATGCTGGGCGAATGTTTTCTATATATATTTTTAGTTGTCCAGCTAATTTCTTTCTATTTTTAGTAGAGACAAGGTCTCGCTCTTGCTCAGGCTGGTCTCGAACTCCTGACCTTGAGCTATCCTCCCACCTCGGTCTCCCAGAGTGCTAGGATTACAGGTGTGAGCCACCGCGCCCGGCCAAAGACCCAGGTTTTTTCCATCTTACTGCACAATCACCCCTTTTGGTGATGCCTGTGTGGCTGAGGCTGAGTCACGGGCACTTGTATGTTCCACGTCCCAGCACTCAGGCAGTGAGAAGGAGAAGAAAGCACAGGGAAGAGGCCAAGCCCACTGTCTTAAGGCCAAGCGAAAAGTGGAGCACATCGCTTCTGCTCACACCCCGCTGGCCAGAACCTAATCGCAGGGCCACACTTCGCTGTGGGCAGGTGGGAAAATGTAGCCTCTGGCCGGGCAGCCCGAGGTCCGAGTTCCTGCCGCACCACCTGCTCCTGGGCCAGTCCCTTCCCCGACAGCCCTTGCCTCGGCTTCCCTGTCAGTTAAACAGGGATGGAAATCCCCACCCTGCTCACCTCCCTGCAGACGTCGATGAGTGTGGCACAGAGCGGGCCAGCTGCGGGGCCGACCAGTTCTGCGTGAACACCGAGGGCTCCTACGAGTGCCGAGGTCAGTGTCTGCTTCCGCAGGCTGGGCTGTGGCCCGTGTGCCCAGCACCCCCTCCTCGGGCTCCAGAGCCCTGCTGGGCCTCCTCCTCTGGGCCTCGACCCCCCCCCCCAGGCGTCAAGGCAGCCCTCACCCTGGGTTTTCTCTCCCCTCCGCTCTCCAGACTGTGCCAAGGCCTGCCTGGGCTGCATGGGGGCGGGGCCCGGCCGCTGTAAGAAGTGCAGCCCTGGCTACCAGCAGGTGGGCTCCAAGTGTCTCGGTAAGTAAGTCTCTGGCCGCTGGCACAGGCACCTGCCACCTGCGAGCGTCTCTCCCACCACAGATTGAGGCTGGGCTGGGACGCTGGCGGGGTGTAGGGGAAGGGAAAGGGGGACGTTGCCCGGACAAGGTCAGGGGGCAGTGTCAGGACGTGATGGGGGAGTCAGGGGAGCTGCCTGGGGGGCCCTGGCAGTCAGGGCTCCGACCCCTTCCCCCCAGACGTGGATGAGTGCGAGGCTGAGGTGTGTCCAGGAGAGAACGAGCAGTGTGAGAACACCCAGGGCGGCTACCGCTGCGTCTGTGCCCAGGGCTACAAACAGATGGAGGGCGTCTGCGTGAAGGAGCAGATCCCAGGTGAGTCCTGGGGGAGGGAGAGCCGCGTTCTCATGCGGAGGAGGGGGGTTCTCATGGCAGAGGGTGGGGGAGGGCAGGCAAGTCCCTTTTCCAGGCAGCAGCAGCTACCGACCCAGCCCCCTGCACTGAAACCCGGTCTCTCCAGGTTGGCTTTGTGGCAGCCTCACCCCCCCCCCCCCCGTACAAAGTGAATCAGGCGTGGCATCAAATCAACATGCCTCCCTAAGCCTGTTTCCCCATCTCTCCAAGGTGACCAGTCCTTACCCCTGGCCTGGTGAGAGGAGGGCAATCACAACCGTTACGATGGGGACCGCTTCCCCAGGCTCGTGCTATTCCAAGTGCGTCACGTGCATTGATTTACTTAGCCTCCAAAACAACCAGTGCAGTGGGTATTACGCCCATCCCCATTTTACACGTGTGGGAAGGAAGATGCGGAGTTGGTGAGGCAGGCTGCAGGGCTGGGATGTGGATCCAGGCAGTCTGGCTCTGTAGCTGCACCAAGGCGTGCAAGGTGTGCGCTGCCCCCGACTCACCCGCTGCGTGGCCTTGGCAAGTCCAACCTCTTCACCCCTCTGAGCCTCAGTTTCCCATTTAGTGAGGGACAACGACTGCCTACTGCAGTGTTGTTCTGAGCAGTAAACAACGTATGTGTGTGCCGGGCAGGCATGTGGGAGTCCTGGGGAGGCTCCAGGAACTGGTAGGAGTGACAGCCACGTCTCCTGCTCCTCTGCAGAGTCGGCCGGCTTCTTCTCGGAGATGACAGAGGATGAGCTGGTGGTGCTGCAGCAGATGTTCTTTGGTGTCATCATCTGTGCGCTGGCCACACTGGCTGCCAAGGGGGACTTGGTGTTCACTGCCATTTTCATCGGGGCCGTGGCGGCCATGACTGGCTACTGGCTGTCAGAGCGCAGTGACCGTGTGCTGGAGGGCTTCATCAAGGGCAGATAATCCCTGCCACCACCTGCAGCATCTCCTCCCACCCAGGCTTCCCCCGAAAGGTTGGGCCTCTCTCCTGCTAGACGCTCAGGGCAGCTGGGTTTATTTTTGAGAGTGGGGTAAGCACCCCCCCACCCGCCTTACAGAGCAGCCCAGGCACCCATGCCCGGGCAGTTGAGGCCCCTGGGGTGAAAAAGTAGCCCTGAAGGTGGATACCATGAGATCTTTGCCTCACCGGGCAGGCTTCACAGTGTGTGAATTTTAAAGAAGTTTCTCCTCATGGTGGCTGCTAATGAGCTTTGGCCCCTGTCCGGGAAGAGGGGGTCCCCACAGCGGAGGGGCCGTCACAGCCCCTTCTGCCAGCTGCATGCTGCCAGCTGCTGTTCTGTGTTCACCCCAACCCCACCTGCCACTTATTTATTTATCTCAGGAAATAAAGGTCTTGGAAAATTGAAAAGTTTGTCTTTCTACCTGTCTCGCCACCACCTTTGGGGAAGTTTTCTAAAACCCTGGGAAATTAGGAGTGGAGGGAGGATGAAGCAGAGAGAGGACCAAGGAGAGGGTTGGCCCTGGAGTAGTTTTAGGAGAAGGGGGATAGAGAAACTGGCCTTAGGAGTGGAAGTTTCTAGGTTTGATACCAGCTGTGATTTGTCAAAGGACCCTGGACTTTTGCCTCTGATCATCACTTTTCTCATTCCTAAAATGGGCCTGACAATGCTTCCCACACAGAGTGTGAGCATTAAATGGTGCAGGACAGACAGATATTCCATAAGACTGGTTGCCATTACTACCAAGCCTCCGAGGGTCAAGCAGTCTTTTCTCTGGAAGTCCTCCCCTCCCCAGTATACACAGGACTTGGAATCCCTCGGAGGCGAGGTCTCCAATCTCTGATTGAGTACAGAATCCTGGCACGGCCGGAGTGAGGCATTAGCCAAGTCCGAAGGGTTTATTTCTTTGGCACAGAGAGGAGAGCCACCTGGGCACGTGAGGCCCATCTCTCCCCACTGGAGAGTCCAGGCTGGGGCACCTGCTCCGCCTTCCCCAGGCCCCAATCCATGCACATCCACCCTGTATTCCGCGTAAGCCACACACAGCCTCTGTGCAAAATACCGGCTGAAAAAAAATAAGGTATTAAAATACAAAGACGAAACTTGGGCGCGGGGTGGTAGGGTGGGATCGCACCCAGCCGGCCCCGGGGGCGCTGCAGTCAGGAGGTGGCCCCGGAATGCCGCTCAACCATCCCGGCACCCGGGGCTGGGTCCCAGTCCTGCGTCAGGACCCCTCAGAGCTCGATGGTGTCGCTGGAGGCGCTGCGGGAGTCCCCGGGCTTGCAGCGCGGCTGGGCGTCGCCCCGGGGGGCCGCTCCGGGCTGAGCGGGGGCGCCGTCAGGGGCCGGGGCTGGGGCGGGCAGCAGCTGCACCGTGCTGGGCAGCTCGTCCAGCGGCAGACTGTCCACCGACGACAGCCCGTGGCGCCACGGGTTCCAGCTGATCTTCAGGGAGCCCCGGGAGAAGCTGTCCAAGGAGCTGCCGGACGCCCCGTCGGGCTCGGCCGCCACGTGCTGCAGCACAGCGCCGCGCACGTCGCTGAGCGACCTGCAGCGTCCGCGCAGGCGCGAAGGGCCCGCGCCGTCGAGCTCGGCGTCGGGATGGCTGCCCCGGCGCGGCCGCAGAGCGCCCCCAGGCGGCGGGGAGGCCAGGCCGCAGCGCCGGAAGACGCTGTCGCGCACCAGATGTTCGCGGAAGAGCGCGGCGTCGATGCTGCTGCTCAGGTTGATGGGGGACGGCGGCCGCAGGTCCAACTCGCTCAGCGACGGCGCCGGCCCCACGCTGCTGTGGGACAGCCCCGGGTCGCCCTGGGGGCCGCGGCCCAGCGACGCCGCCGAGCCCCAGGCGCCCGAGCTGGGCGTGGCGGGCTGCGCGCCCTCGGCCGCCGGGTTGCGGAGGAGGCTCCTGCCGAGGTCCGGGCCGCTCGGCCCCGCGTAGCAGTTGCTGCGGCGCTCCGGCACCTCGCTCTTGCCCGGCGGGGCGGGGCACGCCAGGCGCAGCAGCTTGGCCCAGCAGGCGTGCTCCCTGGGCGGCCCGGGCCGCGCGGCAGCCAGGGCGGCCAGGGCCAGCGCGAGCGCCCACGCCAGCTCCAGCAGGCGCAGCCAGAAGTGCACGCCCCACCAGGCCCACGAGAAGCGGCCCACGCGGCCCGGGCCCGGGTACAGCCAGAGCGCAGCCGCCAGCTGCAGGCCGCTCGCCAGCAGCCCCAGCGCGCCCGCCACCGCCAGCAGCCGCGGGCCCGGGCTGGCGCCCCAGCCCCGCGACCCGTCCAGCAGGCGGCGGCGGCACAGGCAGAGCGTGCCCAGAGCCACCGCCGCGCCCCAGGCGCACGACACGCCCTGCGCCAGGAGGTTGACGGCGGGCCGCGCCGACAGCAGGTCTGCGGCGAGCAGCCCCGCGCAGTGCGCCGGCGCCAGGGCCCCCAGCAGGAGCGGGCTCCGCAGCGGCCGCGGCAGCCCCGCGCCCAGGCCGAGCAGGGCCAGGGTCGCCAGCGCCGTGAGCAGCAAGGGGAAGGGCAGGTTGTAGAGCACCAGGCCGGCCCGCACGGCCAGCCGCGCCTGCGAGCCGTAGGGGTCGGCGAGCATGTAGGCGGACCGCAGGCCCGAAGCCACCAACACCAGCACCGCGGCCGCCAGCGCCAGCCGGGGCGGCCCCGACGGCGCTGCTGCCAGCGCAGCCAGTGCCAGCAACGCGGGCAACAGAAAGAGCACCCCCACCCCGTACACGTGCAGCTCCCAGGAAAAGCTCAGCACCCGCCGCAGGGGGCCCCAGCGCAGCGGGGGTGCCGTGGCGTTGGCCGCGGGGCTGGAGGCTGGCGCAGAAGCCGTGGGGCTGGCTGAGGGCTCTGGAGGGGGAGGCTGGCCCAGGGCTCGCTGCGTGGTCACTCGAATGAGGCCCCGGCGTGACGTTGAGGGGGCCTGGACTGGGGGTGCTGGGGGATGGCTTTGGGGGCGCCCGGGCCACTCTTCGGCTTCATCTGCAATAATAACAGTGTTAAAACAGCCCCCTGGAAAGCAGTTTTTGATTTTCCATCATTCTCAAGGGTGGCTCAGGCAATTATTTAACTTTTCTCGGCACATGTGGGAAATGGAGGCAACAGCACCTACCTGATTAGGTTGGGGAGAGGATGAAATGTTCAGCATGCTGCCCAGCACCCAGTAAGAGCTAAGTGGATGTGAGCTATCGTTTTTATTAATGATCCTATCAGGGAGTAGCACCTGAGCAGTTCCCTACATGTGGTACATATTAGAATCACTTGGACTCTGGGAGGCCGAGGCGGGCGGATGTTTGCACTCAGGAGATCCAAACCAGCCTGAGCAAGAGCGAGACCCTGTCTCTACTAAAAATACAAAGAAATTAATTGGCCAACTAAAAATATATAGAAAAAATAGCCGGGCATGGTGGTGCATGCCTGTAGTCCCAGCTACTTGGGAGGCTGAGGCAGGAGGATCGCTTGAGCCCAGGAATTTGAGGTTGCTGTGAGCTAGGCTGATGCCATGGCACACTACCCCGGGTGACAGAGTAAGACTCTGTCTCAAAAACAAAAAAGAAAGCTGGGCGTGGTGGCTCACGCCTGTAATCCTAGCATTCTGGGAGGCTGAGGTGAGCGGATTGCTCGAGGTCAGGAGTTCGAAACCACCCTGAGCAAGACCCCCCTCTCTACTAAAAATAGAAATTAATTGACCAACTAAAAAAATATATATATATATACAAAAAAAAATCAGCCGGGCATGGTGGCGCATGCCTGTAGTCCCAGCTACTCGGGAGGCTGAGGCAGGAGGATTGCTTGAGCCCAGGAGTGTGAGGTTGCTGTGAGCTAGGCTGACGCCACGGCACTCACTCTAGCCTGGGCAACAAAGTGAGACTCTGTCTCAAAAACAACAACAACAACAACAAAAAAAAACCCAAAAAAGAATCACCTGGAGACTAAGGAATCGGAATTTCTTGGGATGTGGCCATTCCCCAGAGTTGGAGCGTCACTGCACTAAATATATCCTTGTTACATATTAGAACATTCTAGCCCCCAAAGGGCAAATTACTTTCCCCAGAGTACCCAGTGAGCATTAGTTTATTACCCTAAAATGTTTGAAGGAGGTCCTGGCCAATTCTTTTAACCACTTGCGTATAAGCGTCAACTATAGTCGATAGCCACAGATGAACGCAGGCAGCGACTTTAGCCAACAGCTGTGATGTGAAGGCGCACAGCCAAGCATCAACTTTAGCCAACAGCCGTGATGTCTAATTTTTCATTTATCAAAATAAAATTGTGAACATTTAAAAATAACGTAATGAAAACAGGACAGGGCGTGGTGGCTCACACCTGTAATCCTAGCACTCTGGGAGGCCGAGGCAGGAGGATTGCTCGGTCAGGAGTTCAAAACCAGCCTGAGCGAGACCCCGTCTCTACTAAAAATAGAAAGAAATTAATTGACCAACTAAAAATATATATACAAAAAATTAGCTGAGCATGGTGGTGCATGCCTGTAGTCCTAGCTACTGGGGAGGCTGAGGCAGGAGGATCGCTTGAGCCCAGGAGACTGAGGTTGCTGTGAGCTAGGCTGATGCCATGGCACTCACTCTAGCCAGGGCAACAAAGTGAGACTCTGTCTCAAAAAAAATAAAAATATAGCACTCTGGGAGGCCGAGGCGGGCGGATTGCTCAAGGTCAGGAGTTCAAAACCAGCCTGAGCAAGACCCTGTCTCTACTATAAAAATAGAAAGAAATTAATTGGCCAACTTATATATATATAAAATTAGCCGGGCATGGTGGCGCGTGCCTGTAGTCCCAGCTACTCGGGAGGCTGAGGCAGGAGGATTGCTTGAGCCGCAGGAAGCTTTGAAGGTTGCTGTGAGCTAGGCTGACGCCACGGCACTCACTCTAGCCTGGGCAACAAGCGAGACTCTGTCTCAAAAAAAATAAATAAATAAAAATAAAAAAATAAAAATAAAAATAACGTAATGAAAACATATGTGTATGTTACCTATTCTGATTTACAAGTAAAGCTGCTTGTAAAGTAAAACAAGCTTACAGTGCTTTCAAGCTTTCCTCATCACACGAGAGTAAACAGACTCGTCAATGCACAGCGCAGACCACAGTGCCGACTGAGTGCCGGCTGTGGGCGAGGTTTCCAGCCCGTGAGTGCCGTACTGAAGTGGTTAAGCAGGAGTTTGTCCCCATTCACTTCCCACTGTCCACCCCCCATATATACTTCACACAGGTTCTTAGTTATTGGACTGAGTACCCCCTCTCCCCAAGCCCCAGCCATGCCCTCACCTGGCTGCAGGCCCCCCACAGGGCTCTCTGTTTGGTTTGTGGCTGGGCCAGGGTCCGAGGGACCAGGGATCAGGGACTTGGGGGTGCCTGGGGCCTCCACAGCTCCTCTCACCCGCTGCGGGGAGATGGGGTCTACTCCGTTCATCTCTGGTGCCTCTGAAATGACAAAAGCAGTCATCAGCTGGCCAGACCCTCAAAATCCCGTCCCTCAGAGCAGAGGGATGATCATTTGCCACAATGAGCAAAACGGGACCCAGAAGGACCCAGACAACTGAGGCATCCGCCGCCCTGTTCTCACTTGCTTGGAAACCTACCTGGCCTGGGCTGCCCATCTGGAGCCTCGGAGGTGGCAGGACCTGTGGGCTGGGGTCCTGGGGGATCCTTCACGTCAGGGAGGCCAGCCTGCTTGGGCGGGGGGCCAGGGGAGCTGACTTCCCAGGCCTCCCCAGCTCCAGCCTTTTTGGGGGGCTCAACTGGTAGCTCCTCGGCAGGAGGAAGGCTTCTGGCCAACGGCAATTCTGGCAGAGCCCCAGGCTCTGGAGAGGATGCCCCGTCCACTGCAGGTGCCATACCAGCAGTGGGGGCTCCTGGATACTGCTGGGTGAGCAGGGGGCCTTGTGCCACCTGCTGGAAGTCCTCCTCCTGCCCACCCTGCTCTTCCAGCATTGGCCTCTTGACAGAGCCCGAGTGGGGCATGAGAGTGTGGGAAGGGCCCTGGTGGCCAGAGCGAGACGTGTGGGGGACCCTGGTCTTGGCTTTAGCCATCAGACCCTCATCTCTAGTTGGCAGCTGTCCTGCTTGGCCTCCAGGCTCCAGGGCAGGGGGAACTGTGGTCACCCTGAGTTGCAGTCTGGGAGTTGTGGGGATGACAGTGAGATAGGGGGGCCCCGCTGCTTGTGGGGCCAGTGCTTCTTGCTCCAGAGGCTCCTGTGAGTCAAGAGGTCCTGTCCAGGACTGGGAGCTTGGTCCCTGAGCTATCTGGAGGTCATCAGTTACAGGAAGCCGTTCTCTCTGAACCCCAGGGGCTGCTCTGGGCCCATGCAGGGCGGGGCCGAGGGCGGAGTCTGCAGGCTTTGCGGACGCTTCTCCAGCAGGTGTGCGCGGCACGTGGGCGTGCCAGGAGCTCTCGTCTCTGGGGTGATCCCAGAAGTCAAAGGTCTGAGGCTCTGAGGCCACAGGGCCTGCCTCCGGGTGTGCTCTTGGGATCAGGTAGGTTTCTGACTCCTCAAGTGGCTTGAGAAGGACCCTGTTCAGGGCAGGGCCGGCCCCCAGGGATGGCAACAGCAGCAAGAGGCCACACACACGGCCCCATGGGCTGGGGGCCATGGTCTACACCGATGCCTGGGCCTAGGGCCCTCAACTTCTAGTCCTCACTGGATGAGCCTAAAAACAAAAAAAGAGGGGGTGGGTGGCATGTCAGGATTGGGGGCTTCCATTGGCTCCCCCGAGGGGCTGGTGGAAAAGAAAGAAGAGTGACACTGGGTACCAGCTTCCCCCCTGCTTTTAAAACTGTATCTCTGGTCATGCCACTTTACCCGCTTCGAAACCTTCAGTGACTCCCCAGTGCCCCCAGGGGAGAACTTAAGCTCCTTTCCTGGCCTTCTAAGGCTATGGCCACACCAAGGTGCTCACCTGTCCACCGAGACCCAGTGGACTGTCCAACCCCCCGCTGCCTTTGCGCTGCTGTTCCCTCCTCTGAGGATGCCCTCCCCCTTCTCCTTCACTTGCTGAAATCCTATTCTTTTTTTTTTTGAGACAGAGTCTCACTCTATTGTCCGGGCTAGAGTGCCGTGGCGTCAGCCTAGCTCACAGCAACCTCCAACTCCTAGGCTCAAGCAATCCTCCTGCCTCAGCCTCCCAAGTAGCCTGGCTAATATATATATATTAGTTGGCCAATTAATTTCTTTCTACTTTTAGTAGACACAGGGTCTCGCTCTTGCTCAGGCTGGTCTCAAACTCCTGAGCTCGAGCAATCCGCCCGTCTCGGCCTCCCAGAGTGCTGGAATTATAGGCGTGAGCCACCGTGCCCGGCCTGAAATCCTATTCTTGAAGGCCCAGTTCAAACATGAGAGCAGTGGAGAAGGAGAGGAACACGCACTCGCCTTTCAGGAGGGACCTAAGTTTGAATTCCAGCTTCACCATTTCCTTGATGAGTTACTTTACCTTTTTGCATCATGGTTTTCCCATCAGCAAAATGGGATAATAAGAGGATCTGACCCAAGGAGGTCTTATAAGACATAAGCAACAAAACACACACGGCCAGGCCCACGCCAGGAGTTTAGTGGGCGCGGGAGCCGTTATGCTTTTCCCTCGGTCTGGAAGGGAAGGCGTTCTCTCTCCCCACCCCCCTAAGGATCCCGACAAATATCTGAACGCGTACTGTGTGCCAGGCCCTTGGGACGAAGCAGTGAACAGATTGATAATACCGACCTCATGGAGCTGGCATTCTAGGTAAGAGACAGACAAGAAGGAATTTCAAATAAGGTGAGCTATTTAGAAAATAAAACAGGGTTAAGAGCTAGAGGGATGAGAGGCTGTTTACACAGGAGGTGCCAGGAAGCTCTCTCTGAGGCCATATTTAAGCTAAGTGCTGAATAAGGAACCAGCCATTTGACGATTTTGGGGAAAAGCATGTGGCAGAGGGGACGACGAGTGCAGAGGCTGGCTAGGTGAGTTCAAGAACCAAGAACACACAGTAGTGGGGCTGGAGCACCGCAAACAAAGGAGAAGGTAGCGGGAGATGAAATCAGGAAGTCAGAGGCTGGAGCGCAGGGTGACTTGCATGCCACACACCTGGATTTCATTCTACCTGCCACAGGTAGATGGAGATGGAAAGATGGAGATGGGAATGGAGATGGAAAGCCACTGGAGATGGAAAACATGGAATGACAAGGTCCTGATTAGTTTAGTCTCACAAAGGGGTGAGAGAGGCCAGTGCAAACACCCAGGTAAGATATGACGGTGGCTTGTGTCAGCTCAGACATTCCTCTGCCAGGAAGTCTTCCTCCCCTGACCCTCCTGGGCACTGGTCACCCTGGTCACATGTGTAATAACCTCCTGTCTCCTCCAATGGCCTGGGGCTCCTGCCTCTTTTCAAACTTCCAGCCCCCTGCATATATGTGGCCCCGTGTGGATATTCCCTAAAGCCTGCTGTGCTGGAGAGCCCGTAAGTGGGCCAGGGAGGCGGGAAGCAGCCCCCATGGCCAGGAGAGGGGGCACAGCGGCTGTGGGAGCTGAGGCTGGGTGGGTTTGGGGGCAGAGGCTCTATTCCATTCCTCTCTGGGAAGCAGCTGTCCACAAAGCTTCCTGGGCTTGACCCCTGGTGGCTCACAGGCACCTTGAGAAGCCACTGAAAACTTCCAGGTGCTCTCCCCAGGAGGATGAGCATGCTCACACTGTGGACAATTCCAAGTGGTTCAAAGGCCTCTTAGGACCATCCTCTCCACCTGAGTTTAAACTCTGCCTTGAAGCCTTGTCAGTTCATTTCTCAAACATTCACCCAGCCTCATGGTCTGCTCCCAGCCCAGGTGAAGCGCTGGGAACCCACAGCGAGGCCCCAGCTCTAGGGCTGGGAGCAGGAGCGAGCTGAGGGGGAAAGACTGAGAGGCCCCTAGCCCGGTAACTGGTTAACAACAGTGCTCCCGTGTCGACCTCTTACCCCGTTGGGCTGCTCCGGTGCTAACCTTAGCTACATGCCATTGGACCCTCCGGATACAGGCAGGTGTGAGTGCACCCAGTTTCACAGGGGAGGAAACCGAGGTTCAGAGAGGTCGAGCAACTCGCCCGTGGTCACACAGCCAGCTGAGTGGACACGCTAGAGGGGCTGTGAAGCCCACAGAGGTTCGTCTTGCACGGGGTGGTGGGGGTGGGGTGGTGCAGAAAAGCCTTGCAGACGAGATGGAGTTGGGCCTCCAAGGATAAACGTGCAGTCTGCCCACACCCGGTCCAAGAGACGTGGGCACCCGCGGCCAAGGCAAAGGCTTGCCCGGCCCTGGGGTCCCCTGCTGGAGAGATTTTTGGGGTTCGGGGCATTGCTCGACTGCAGGGACTAGGGGAGAGGCTGGCCTGCGGGGAGGGCGAGGGCAGCCTCCGGGCGCTGCTCCATCTCGGGTTGCCTCTCCTCCTCCTCCTCCTCCGCGGGCTCCTCTCCCCCGGCCCCGCACCGGCCCGCAGCGCCCCGGGTGGGGGCGGCCGCCCAGGCCCCGCGCCCCGCGCCCCGCGCCCGCCATCGCCCCGGCCGGCTGGCCGCTCACCTGCGCGCCCGCCGCAGCCCCGCGTTCACCTTGCGCGCGTCCCCGCAGCCGCAGCCTCCGCGGTGCCCAGACCCGGCTAACCGAGCCCCGCGCTGCCGATCGCCGCGCCCGCCCACAGGCGCAGCGCTCCCCGGGGCGGCCCCTCCCGGCCTGCCCTCCTCCCGCCGGGATGCTCGGGCCGGAGCGGAGCCCGGGTCACCTCCGAGAGGCGTGGAGATCCCTTCTGCAGCATCCCTGGCCGCGGGCAGCCAGGCTCTGCTTGCATGCCTCGCCGGACGGGAGGCTCACTCTCTTCATATCCATATCCTTTTACCTAAACCCTGCCTACAGCTCGATGTGTATTCTTTGGACATTCTTCAATGCACAATGGCATACGCATATTAAACAGAGACGAGATCCTATTGTGATGCTGTTTCTGTAATCTGTCTTATTTTCTCTTCGCTTCACAATACATATCCTGGCACGCTTTCCATGTTAAGTATCTGCAGATCTTCCTCATTTCTTGTATCCGTTGTTGAGAATTCCAGCATATTGTCAGCTGGTAATTTTTCTTTTCTTTTTATTTTTGAGGCAGAGTCTCGCTCTATTGTCCTGCCTGGAGTGCTGTGGCATCAGCCTCGCTCACAGCAACCTCAAACTCCTGGGCGCAAGCGATCCTCCTGCCTCAGCCTCCCGAGTAGCTGGGACTACAGGCATGCGCCACCGTGCCTGGCTAATTTTTTCTATATAGTTTAGTTGGCCAATTAATTTCTTTCTACTTTTAGTAGACACAGGGTCTTGCTCTTGCTCAGGCTGTCTCGGAATCCTGACCTTGAGCAATCCTCCCGCCTCGGCCTACCAGAGTTCTAAGATGACAGGCATGAGCCGCCATTCCCAGCCTTGGATTTTTCAATGCACAATTACATAAACATATTAAACAGAGACGAGATCCTATTGTGATGCTGTTTCTGTAATCTGTCTTATTTTCTCTTCGCTTCACAATACATATCCTGGCACGCTTTCCATGTTAAGTATCTGCAGATCTTCCTCATTTCTTGTATCCGTTGTTGAGAATTCCAGCATATTGTCAGCTGGTAATTTTTCTTTTCTTTTTATTTTTGAGGCAGAGTCTCGCTCTATTGTCCTGCCTGGAGTGCTGTGGCATCAGCCTCGCTCACAGCAACCTCAAACTCCTGGGCGCAAGCGATCCTCCTGCCTCAGCCTCCCGAGTAGCTGCGACTACAGGCATGCGCCACCGTGCCCGGCTAATTTTTTCTATATAGTTTTAGTTGGTCCATTAATTTCTATTTTTAGTAGAGACGGGGTCTCACTCTTGCTCAGGCTGGTCTCGGAATCCTGACCTTGAGCAATCCTCCCGCCTCGGCCTACCAGAGTTCTAAGATGACAGGCATGAGCCGCCATTCCCAGCCTTGGATTTTTCAATGCACAATTACATAAACATATTAAACAGAGACGAGATCCTATTGTGATGCTGTTTCTGTAATCTGTCTTATTTTCTCTTCGCTTCACAATACATATCCTGGCACGCTTTCCATGTTAAGTATCTACAGATCTTCCTCATTTCTTGTATCCGTTGTTGAGAATTCCAGCATATTGTCAGCTGGTAACTTTTCTTTATTCTGTGCTCTATAGTTGGACACAGGTCGTTTCCAGCCTTTTGCTAGCAGGAGTAGTGGGGCAGGGGCCATTCCTACATAGACGTACATCTTCATGCACTGGCCATGGGGTACCTATTAGATAATTTCCTAGCTGAGGCATGGTAAGATCTCTGGGTCTGCACACTTTCATGTCTGATAGACACTGTCAAAACACCTCTGGTCCCTCTTTGAACAACTTCTGACATACTAAACGACCATGATTAGGTTCAATCCATTAAGGGAAATCCACACAAAGGAATACATGTGGTCATTAGAAATGATGTAGAATCTTCGGGCCGGGCCCAGTGGCTCATGCCTGTAATCCTAGTACTCTGGGAGGCCAAGACAGGAGGATCACTCAAGGTCAGGAGTTCAAAACCAGCCTGAGCAAGAGTGAGATCCCGTCTCTGCCAAAAATAGAAAGATATTAACTGGCCAAGACTAGAAATATATACACAAAATTAGCCGGGCATGGTGGCGCATGCCTGTAGTCCCAGCTACTCGGGAGGCTGAGGCAGGAGGATCACTTGAGCCCAGGAGTTGGAGGTTGCTGTGAGCTAGGCTGACGCCACAGCACTCTACCTGGGCAACAGAGTGTCTCAAAAAAAAAAAAAAAAAAAGATGTAGAATCTTCAATGGCATGGAGAAATTTCCCATGTAGATTGTAGTTTTAGTCCTTTGAATTATAAAAATAATATACACTGATTATCTCAATTTACCCAACACAGAAATCTTCAAAGAACAAGTTAATGTCTTACTCCTGGCCTCTCCAGCTCTGCCTCCCAGGTGTACCCACTGTTAACATCATACTGTTTCCTTTGCTTATAAAAACATATATGTGCGTTCATATGTTCAACAAAAATAGGGTCACATTATGCACATTGCTCTGTAACACTGTCTGCCCTAAAAGATGCCTCTGTTGGGAACACTTTGCAGGCTGTCCGCATCGGCCAGACGCTCCCCGCCGGCCCGCAGACTGCACCGCGGAGCACCGCCAGGCGCCCGACACTCCCAACACCCCCTGGCGGGCAGCCGGGTTCCGGCTTTTCTCTACTGGAAACAACCCTGGGGTAAACATTCTGCCATGCCAAGATGAACGTTCTTACACGCGGATGCTCTAAATCAGGGGTCCTCAAACTTTTTTTTTTCATTGATTATTCTGTTTATTTTTTCTGTGAAGTGATTGTTTATAACTTTATTTTTTTTTTTTTTTTTTTTTTTGAGACAGAGTCTCGCTTTGTTGCCCAGGCTAGAGTGAGTGCCGTGGCGTCAGCTTGGCTCACAGCAACCTCCAACTCCTGGGCTCGAGAGATCCTTCTGCCTCAGCCTCCCGAGTAGCTGGGACTACAGGCATGCGCCACCATGCCCGGCTAATTTTTTATATATATATCAGTTGCCAATTAATTTCTTCTATTTATAGTAGAGACGGGGTCTCGCTCTTGCTCAGGCTGGTTTGAACTCCTGACCTTGAGCAATCCGCCCCCCTCGCCTCCCAAGAGCTAGGATTACAGCGTGAGCCACAAGCGCCAGCC